AAATCCCTTCACGGGTTAAAGCAAGCTCCAAAACAATGGCAAGAGAAATTTGACAAAGTTATGTTGTCAAATGGATTTCGAATTAATGAATGTGACAAATGTGTCTATGTTCGAAATACTGAAAAAGGTTTTGCCATTGTCTGTCTTTATGTAGACGACATGTTGATCATGGGTAGTAATAATCAAATGATTAATGCTACTAAAAAGTTACTTAAAAATAAGTTTGATATGAAAGATATGGGGATAGCAGACGTTATCCTAGGTATTAAAATCCATAGAACATCTACAGGGTTGGCCTTATCACAGGCTCACTATATAGCTAAGGTTCTTGAGAAATTCAAGAGTTTGAATATAACTCCTGTGAGGAATCCTGTAGATTCTAATCTGAGTTTATTAAAGAACACTGGTAAAGCTACAACACAAAAGCTATATGCTCAAGTGTTGGGAAGCCTTATGTATGTTATGAACTGCACCAGACCTGATATTGCTTATGCAGTAAGTCTATTAAGTCGCTTTACCAGTAACCCAAATGAGAATCATTGGAAAGCTATTGTAAGAGTTTTGGGATACTTGAAGTATACTTAGAATTATGCTTTGCATTACGAGAAATACCCTGCTGTTATAGAAGGGTATTGTGATGCAAATTGGATCACCGGCTCTAATGACACTAGATCCACAAGTGAATATGTGTTCACCCTTGGTGGAGGTGCTGTGTCTTGGAAATCGTCCAAGCAAACCTGCATTGCAAGGTCAACCATGGAAGCAGAATTTATTGCTTTAGATAAGGCCGGTGAAGAAGCCGAATGGCTTCGTAATTTTATTGAGGATGTTCGTAATTGGCCAAGACCGGTCCCAGCCGTATGCATACATTGTGATAGCCAAGCAGCTAATGGAAGGGCCAAGAACGTCATGTATAACGGTAAGTCTAGACACATACGTCGTAGACATGATACCGTAAGGCAACTACTCTCGAATGGAATCATTTCAATTGACTATGTTAAGTCTAATTTGTCGAAAGGAATGGGTTTAAGGCCTATCAATTGTTGAGCATTGCGGTAACTCTACCTAGAAGAGTGGAAATCCCATGAACTAGGTTCAAAGAGACAACTAAGAGATGGTCGACTGTTCAAACACTGTGGAGTTTTTAAACTCATACTCATTCCTCAGACAAGGCAGTGTATTTATGAGGGTAAGCACTTAGATTTTTAATGATTTCTTAATCTGTTGTGTTCAGATGATGTATAGTGAGTCACATCACAAGAAATCACTTATGTGAGTGTGAAGTTAGGGTCACTTCTATGAGAATTTTACAAAGGCCAATTCTCTAATACACTCGCAGAACCAGGCAGGTGTCCCACGGCCAAAATGGGCGCAACAAAGGACCAACAATGCTAGAGAAGCAATTGTGTAACTCCTACTGTCTAGGTATACACTAAAGGTTGACGGTTCAAGTAGACCTAGACCGCCGTTTGACCGAGTATATCCGATAGGTTTTCACTAGAGAAGGTTCAAAGGTAACTCCACCTGTCTCGATGCAGTTGTTTCTCGTTGAGGAAATTACACTTTGCATTTATACTCTTGTGCATTTTTTGTCACGATGATTTGACTTCTTATCCATGTAGGGGATTGTTGGAATTTATATATATATATATATATATATATAAATTGTATAGACAATCTATTGGTTATGAATAAGAAGTTTGGTACGGAAAATGTGTGCATTTTCGTCGACAAACAGATGTATCTTTTCATCCTAAAGGATATGTTGTTTCATCCTAACGGACATGTTGTTTCATCCTAACGGACATGTTGTTTCATCCTTGAATGAGTGTCTTTTCGTGTTGAACGAATGTGTCTTTTCATGTCGAACGAATGTGTCTTTTCGTGTCCAACGGATGTGTTGTTTCGTCGTCGAATAGGTGTCTTTTGGAACGTGACTTTACGTTGTCTATAAATAGACACTGACACCTTCAGAAAATGAATCCAGTTTTCTGCACTTAAACTCTGCCGGAATTTTTTCTCCTTCCGATTTTGCATACTGTTGTTCATCCTCCGGTGTGATTTCCTCTGGCAATTGTTGTGTTCGTTTGGGCTATTGATTGGTAGTGCCACCATTCTTCAGACGTAATCCGTTCTATCCTGGGAGACAAGTGTCCATCAACCTTAGGCATCAGTGAGGGGGCAAATTGTCTTAAGGAGACACGTTCTGTGGGCTCGGATTTAATTCCTCTACTTCTGACATATCATTCGATCTATTCTATCATTCTGCTTGCATCATCATCTGATTTCAAGATCATCATCTGATTTCAAGTAAGTCAGTTCTTTAATTTTAATATTTATAATTGCACAGTGATAATTCTGATCATCTACCTCCTCTGATTCTATACATGGGTTCAATCTTTTAGTGATATAATATCACCCACTGTCTTCAATAACAAAATTTGTGCTTTTGTATTCAACCAACGCAATGAAATTAGATTTCTCATGCATAGGCTTTAGAGCCTCAGGGCAGTCAAATCTTTTTCTGAATTCATCAAAAGAAAGCTTAAGCGTTTATGTGAATTCTAAGCAATCTTCAAAGGAGGGGATTTTAGAGAAGGATTTGCAAAAGGTCCCTCAACTAGTGCCTTCGCTATTTGCTTGTAAGCTCCATCCCAATTTATACGTTTTGAAGGTTCAAAGCAAATAGTTGAGTTGAGGATATATTAAAATAATAAAATATTAAATATTAAAATATTAAAATAAAATACATAAGGATATATTATGGTGCTTGAAAAGAAAATAAAATAAAATTGTGGTGCTTGAAACAAACGTTTGGCATCACTGTAGTAGTCGAAATATATTATCTTTGCTTTAGGATTTTTCTTCCTCAGTGTCTCTATGGCCATTTTAGTACTCAGCAAAAGTATTGTAAGCTTTCAAGCACCCAGATTCATCATAATCATCTTTGTTATCACTCTTTCTCAATGTCAAAATCGCATAATTGCACCCAATTGGAAAATTCCCTGGCACCACTAGCTCCACAGCTCCTTCTTCTATTAATGTCTGGCAAATAAAAAGAAACAAAAAGGAAATTGTTGGTGAATATATTCACCACCGTGGTCTTATCAAACTATTGAAATTGAAGTCTAATTAAACTATTGAACTTGAAGTTAACATTATATTCTAGTAATTAAATTCAATATAACAAACGGAGGTGGTATTGATAATTGTTTCAACAATAAAAGGAACTATTTCTCATAGTTCTGGAATATTTTTATTTGCCATGATAAGCGCGTTAACATCATTCCCACCAATTTCTCCCACTAGAAACAGTGATTTTTAGTTATCGAACCGTGTCGCGACACGTCAAGAAAATTTCATGTTTTGGACAAAAACATTATTAAAGGAGTTTTGGTATAACCTCCTTTATTTTTGCAAAGGGAAGGTTTGAGCTTCTTAAACGAATCAAGTTGAACGCTTAATGAATTTTCATCTGGTAATACATAATCTCCCAAAGCCCAATAAGCAGCCCAACCGAGAGTCCATATCTCATCAGTCAAATGATACTGCTACTAATCAGTTAAGTAGTACAGATGCTAAGCCAAGTGCCAACGTGGATGATGATGTAATACATGCAGCTACCAATCACGATAGAAGAGTTCTCTAACAGCTTATCTTGATTACGGTTATGATTTAGTTATGCAGTTAGTGACTTATCAATTATTGTTGTATTAATTTCTTGTAAGATCATTATTGATTCATAATGAGAAATTTCTTCATTCACAATATCTAGCGTCAGTGAATTGATTTTGTTTCGTGTGAAGTATTCCATATCAAGTGTAGTTGCACCGGCAAATGCAAAATTTACTCCTTGCGTGACGTTTTGCCCTTCGATGAGATTCAGGTAGGCTGGCAAAAATGGCAACCCATATGCATCGGCTACAATTAAAATGACTATAGATTAGTGTACGAATTCTTCAATCATTAATGAATTAAGTCCTTATAATTTTAAATTTTTGTATTGATGCCTTCATAGACTAGCACAAATTGAATTCTGTTAAATGTTGCATTTGCACGGGTAATATATATATATAGAGAGAGAGAAAGAGAGAGATAACGACATATTCTTTCTTTTAGAAATTAATCAAGAACGATCGTCGATAAAAAATGATCTTTTTCCTCTGTGCATCGCACGGGTAATGCACTAGTTTAACATATATGAGAAGAATTGTCTTACATGTCCAAGGTATCAAATATCACACACATTGCATTATCCCTCTACTCGGGGTTAGTCAATTCCATGTTCCTTTCCTTTCCTCTGTTGTCTTCGTTTCTGTCAATGCATAACAGAAATAGAAGATACGGAGTAGTTCGGGTATCAGTATCACAATAACCTAAATTATTAGGAATGATAAAACAAACTGTGTTTAAAGTTATAGAGTTTTTAAAAGATAAAAACAGACATTAACATGATGGTAGGATTCAGGGATAATTGTAGTAAAAAAAGAAGATCAAGGAAATATTAAGGATTAAATGCAGCCACATAAGATCAAGGCAAAGTTACAAAAACGAACTGAAAAGTACAGTTGACGATGGAAAAAAAATTGTAAAAAATGAAAAAGGATAAAAAAAAGAAAGAGAAAAAGCCATACATATGACAGTTGTTTAACATTACACATCAAACACCATCGTCGTTTTAAATTTAAGTTACACTCACAATCCATTAATTTTATTTAGAGTCTTAATTTATAATTTATTAAATATATAAACCGTAAAATACTAGTGAATCAATAATTAAATCAAATATAAAATTTCTTATTCTTTACAAGTATAAATTCATTCAGACCCAAAAATCAAATACTTCATATTACTCCCGTTTAGTATGCATGATTCAATTTCTATTCAATCCCAACTTCAAGAACAAAAGGGATGGTCAAGCAAAAGGCTAATATCTAACCTAAGATTTAAAACCTAATCTAATATCCAATGTTAGTAGCGTTAACTTCCAAAATAAACACACAATACAAACTATACAAGATATATTATATCCAACTAACTAAAGCATTTTAGAAATAAAGATCAGACCATGAAAAATTTTCTTTGGCCAACCCGATGATCATTGCTCCAAAAATAATTAAACACATATAATATAATAAAGCACTCAAACAGAAAAATTAAATTGACAAAATACTTCTAGTCTAAATGCTAGCCACCGTGGCATAAATGAAATTTGCATGGACCCAAACCCATTGTAGATTCCACAGCAGGTGGATGTGATTAGATGCTTTGTCCTAATAATAAGTCCTTTACACAACTGTTATGACTTCTGAAGAACACATTTCTCATACAGGGCAAGGATAGCATTCTTGTTGCGATTCTTCAACCCAAGCAGCTGATCACCATAGTTATGTTTTGTCAGCTCTTGCATAAGCTTCTGCTTTGTAAACTTCTTATAATCATCCTCATTAGTTTTCTGACTATGGTTGTCCTCATCACCCTCAAAAATGGAACCACCATCTTCTGGAGGCTTGTACTTAAGCGAATTAGATGTGCTCTTAGATCTCTTACTTTCCCTCATAATTCTAGGGCTCATACCCATGTCCTGAACAGATTCTACATCAATTTCATCATCTATCCTCAAACGTTTTCCATGGGAGGCAATGTTTAGCTTACTGTCCAATACTGTTTCATTCAGTCGAAACTTGGTCAGCTCTTGATGGAGATAATCAATTTTGGCTTGTGAAGACTGTAACTTGAGAGAGAGAGCCTCAGCTCTGTTATTTGCCTGAGCATGTGCTTCACGTTCTGTTTCCAAAAGTTGTTCGAGAATCTGTGCACTATTTCGCCGATGAGTTCCATCTTTCTCCAAAAGTGAGTCAACATCCTTCTCTCTCTGTTCTACCTTTTCCTCCAGTTTTGAAACTTTGGCAAGTGCACCCTTCTCTGAATCCCTCACGCTCTGCAATTCACCTTCCAAATTATCTTTCTCCCTCTCCAAATTTTCAATTTTCCTCTCAGCCCTCTCAATATGTGTCAGTCTCTCCATTGCAAGCCTCTGCATCTCGCTCTTCTCCTTCTGAGCCATCTCTGCTTCCGCCCGTGCTTTGTTAGCCACTTCAGTAGCCCTTACAGCTTCCTTTTCAGCATTTTTACACCTTTCCTGTACCTCCTCAAATCTTGTGAACCCAGATTTGTACTTCTGCTCTAGATGGTTCTTCTCCTGCTGAATTACCATCACATCCTTCTCATATGACTGGGCCTTAGCGTTATCAGTTTCCAACCTCTCGATTAACTCTTTAATTTCAAGCCTCAGAGATGATATTTGTGCTTCATAATTCCTTATTTTTGACTCAGCATCCTGCACATATATCTAGAGTTAGACATCATTTAATCGCAAAAGGTCTCTGAACATGCTTTCAATAGACAAATACAAAAATTTCAATTGTAATACTATCCAAATTGGTTTGAGGTATTAAAATAATTTCCTGTTGTAAATTGTTTCAATCAAGTAATTCAGTTAAAATACTCATCATTGCGCTTCACAAAATTAAGAATTCTTAATAATCTCAACTCTGAACCACCAGATCTTTTCTTTTTTTGGGAGAGGGGTGGATAGGCAAGATGTGTCACAAATGAAAACCACAATTCATTATAAAAGGCATAACATAAATCTTGTCTGACTGAGAGCCCTTGAAAATAGTGCTTCATGGGACAAACACTCCATCTGTCTAATAGTGTGAAATTGACATGAAGGTGGAAATGAAAGTAAAAGAGTCTATAAAATGGTTTTCTTGAATTATCTAAGCAGCCATGAATCTCACCTTCAATTCTAATTTCAAAGTTGTTAAACACTGCTCAGCATGCTCAAGTTTGGCAGTCTTCTCCTTTATTATATCTTCCTGCATAGTCGGAAAGGATGAAATAAATAACTCCATTTTGCATTCAATTCATCATGTAACATCGATAAGATTAAACTAGAGATGCCAGTCATCTTTGTGTCAAAGTGATATTTATGCAATAACAATGCTAGATAAACAGATATTTGCAAAAAGTGCAGGATCATAGTGAGCTCACTTTTTCAGCCAAAGTGCCGGAAAATTCTTCTCTTAAAGCATCTTCCCTCAACTGTGTTTGCATATTTGTGCGCTCCTGCCCAATTGCTGCCTTCTCTAGAGCAGCTTTTGCTTCTCTAACAGCAACGTCATACTTCCGCTTCCACTCTTCAGCCTCCTCTTGAGCAGACTGAGATTGCTCCCTTGCTGCAGCCAACCTTGCTTCGGCAGCATTGTTATGTGACTTGAGGGCAGCAATTTCAGAACTAGCTTGATCTTCCTCAGCCTTCTTCCTTGATAAAACTTGTTCATATTTTCTTTTCCAATCCATGGATTCTTGCTTAATAGAGTCCAGGGTTTTTGATAAGCTAGAATACCTCTCATCCAGTGACCGACGGTTAGACTGCAGATCAGTTATGCGATTCATATACTCATCGGTTAGCTTCTTCTTATCATTGATGACATCCTCATAGCGTTTAATATACTCAGACTTCTCGCTTTCACTGGCATCCAGCTGCTTGTTAAGTAGGGTCAGCTTATCTTCAATAAATCGGCATTTTAAATTGAGAGAACTCTTATCTGATTCAACTTTATCTATTAGTCTCTTGGTCAGGTCTAGTACTGGGCCTTCGAAACTAGTGTCAGCAACATGTAAACTATTAAAATTTTAAAAAATAAAATAAAATAATTGAAAAACAATATCTACAGACCAACCTTTGTTGTAAGAAGACAGTAAGTTTTTGCCACTTCCTTGGACCTAGAATGGATTTTTCATATTCACACAAAAGAGCATCAAGAACCTGCATCAAAGATGCATAAACAAGTCAGTTTGTCATTTCAATAAGGCCGGCCACCCTACACAGCCTAGTTATATCCAATATTCTTCCCATGATATCCCCAATTACAATTTTCATTTAAAAAAAATTCAGTAAACAGGAACCAACAACCAGAGCGCTACAACTAGTGTAATAAAAATTTACAATTAGCCAAACAACAATTACCTTGGCAATATTATCTATCTTTGCATCAGAAGCATTACAAGCTGCCCTTAGCCTCTTTTCCATGGACTGAATGGCATTTGAGCACTGCAGATCAGCCTCCATAAATGCATTCCTCTTATAATCCTTTTTCCAAAGGGCCAAAGAAATTAGAGCATGACACAAACAACATTAGCTCACTCCCCAAATAGAAAAAAGGCACACCTATACAATATAACTAGGTATAAGAACTACAGTCAATTTAGGTTTGTCACAACTCAAAATCCAAAATCAATTTTAATAATTCATCAATTTATTAATATAAGCACCACATGATGTCTGTCAATAATAAAAAAAGGAATTAAATCTAAACAAATCTGACAAAACACTGAAATAGTAGGAATAAGGAACGGTCTTGGCTCAGAAACTCTGAAACTGTCAGAAATGGGAAGACTAATAATGAAGGTGTTACATAGCAAAAATAAAACTTCATTCACCTTATATGGAATATTGTATTTGGAATAAAAACCCACAGAGTGATGCAACGTAGCAACAACCATATTCAGTTTACGATTCCAATTCCAGACTAGCAGACCCCCCCCCCCCCCCCCCCCCCCCCCCCCCCCCCCCCCCCTGTTAAGGGCTACCACTAAATCCTACGATATTAAATTCAGTTCAATAATGAGCCACATACTACAGTTTTGACATGAGATGTGCCCAAGTAGCTTATGTGTTCATGCAGATCAATCTTCTCTAAACTATAGAAGCTAATTTATTCTATCAACAAGACTAGAGAGTAGAGATCAAATATCCTGCTTATAGCCTTATATATAATTTTCTGTCCACTGAAGACAGCTGAATTTTTTAGCATCATAAGCAAATGGTATCCCAGGCGTATACACACTTCATAATAAAAGAAAAAAATTCCATTGCATGTAATATGACAATAGAAGCTTCCATCAACACCCCGCTCCCACCACCCGAACAAAAAGAAAAACATACAGACACCTGAACCAAAAAATAGTTATATCTACTATAACATGCACATAACTTTCACCAAATAAAATCTAGTTAGTTTATCCCAATTAAGTAATTTTGAATATCCGAGACCTCAAATGCCTTTTTGAGAAATTTCTGCAGCAGGCCTTCATATTTCTTCCTTGCTGAACCAACTCCTACAGCGCTAGCAGTAAAAGCAGACACTGAAATTCGAACTGCTTCTTCATGTGCTTCCCTCAAAGCAACCTACAAGCCTTATCATTAGAAAAGGAAAGAAAAAAGAAATATATAATTAACATTTACTTAATTCAGATTACTCACTTCCTCAATCTGTGTAGAACGGTCAAAAGAAGACATATAAACTTCAGTAGCAGAATCATATGCCCTACGGCACTCGGCTTCTTCAACACTCTGCAACCCAACAACATAAGCAAACAAAAACTCGAGAACATGATCTAAATATTTGTTGTCCCAACTTATTTTCTTCTTCCATTGATGGATTAATGGATTACATACACTTGGCCAGAAACACATGAAATCCTCATAGGTACAAGTTCAAAAGCCAGAAAAATATTCACATTAAAAGGAAGGGCATAGGAGAATGCAGTACACAAGATTAATTGATGTGAAAATTTTCCTGAACTTTGGAGTTGATACAGAAGAAATTTCCACTTTCAGAAGACATTTGGTGGTTGTGAAAATAATGAATATAACGTCAACTGCACAAAATGCTAAATAATCATGGCTTTGTCAATCATCTGATTTCCTAGATAAGTCAGAACTTTAAAAAAAATGGTATCAATCTCGTGCAAAAAAGAAAGTAGGTAAAATGCAAAACAGGACATCAGATATCTAAAAATCATATTATGCAATGAGCCACTAATGCCTCTGAAAATATATTCATTTTACTACCACAAATGACCAAAATTGAAAACATGGTTTACATACATTAAAGAATTCTTCTATTATACGCCATATGTTAAACACGTTCCTTTCTCACATGAAGTCATGATTTAAACAAGAAATATAAACCTGCCAGGACGAAGAAATTGTGGGCACGGCACCATGATTGAGAGCATCCAGATAAGATTCAGTTATACCAACCAACACAGGACCTGTCATCATAGTGGCCCCAACTTGTTTTGGCTTTGTTCTCTCAAAAACAAACTTGGTCAAAGCATCAAGGCCAGATTGAAATTCAGGCCGTAATTTTTCCAACTGCATATTGAAGATAAATTTTCAAGACAAAAAGAGACAGCAATATAAATGACAAAAAAATATGGTAGCTTGTGAGTCACCTACCGATATCTGGTCAAGTCGCTGTAGATCATTTTCATTGTTTAAAGGTCGCACAAGAGTGAAGCATTCCCTGTCTGGGAATAAAGCCCGAATGGAATCTCGAATCTACCGATTGATATTGTCAGAAAATTAGTGTAACTCAGAGAGGAAACCAAGATCATCATTTCCAATATGCCACAAAAGCTTAATAAATGCATTTATTTTAAAATAATAGTGCACAACTTATAAAACAAGCATTACAATAAAATAAAATAAGCTGCAAAAGGATATACAAAGAGCACACAAGTCTTGAAACAATGGAAAGTAAAACAGGACAATACTAGATCAATCTTCCCGATAAATAATTCTCTATCCCCAAGTCTGATATAGTACACTACACGCTTCCCGACACCTCTGATCCACATCCACTACATACAAAGACTACCTATCACTACCACCACCCAAAACCTCACCATTCCTCAGTCTGTATGTCCAATAACACAGGCAAAGTCCCAAAGGTGGAAGTGAGGTACCAGCCCTTAACAAGGATGAGCTAGAACGCCTCGTAAACATTCATGCCTCTTGTTCTCTAGCCATGATTGGTTAGGACTTCCGCTCTCAATCTTTCAATGCTCCTAGTATTGCCTCTGATAATTCATGGATTATTAACTCTAGTGCTACTAACCATATGATCTTTCATCCTCCACAAGTTTTGTCCTATCAACCATCTTCTAGTAAGCATAACCTAAAGGTGGCTATTGGCTCAAATGCCTTGATTTCTGGTTGTGATACTATCAATGTCCAACCTTCCCTACAATTGAACCATATTCCCAAACCTTCCAATAATTTGTTCTCCATTTGTAAAATTACCAAAGACCTAAATTGCTCAGTAACTTCTTCTATTCTCATTGTTTTTTTCAAGATTTTGTAACAAAAAGGACAATTAGAGTTGCTAAGGAGCATGGGTAGTAGTATCTCCTCAACAAACCTAATGAAGTACTCCCAATTAGAAGCTACTAGTTACTTGCCATCAATGCAGTTCTAAAACCCCCTACTTCACAAATCTGGAATCAACATAGGCATCTTGACCACTCTCCTTTTTCTCTATTCCAATCTATATTTCCATCATTATTTTCAGGAGAGTAAGTTGAGCCTTTTCAATGTGGTGCTAGCGAATTGGCTAAATAAAACCGGGTAATCTTTTCTCCCAATTCTTATAAGAGTGTTGAAACTTTTGTACTTACTGATTTTAATGTTTAGGGCCTTGCTTTTGATTCTAATATTTCTGATAAAAAATTGGTTTGTGTCAATTATTGATGACGGTACCTGAGTAACTCAGTTTCTCTTGATGGAATACAAATCAAAAGTATATCAAATATTTGTAAACTTTAATCGCAAGGTTCAAATACAATTTGGAAAGCCTATTAAACATCTATGCTCTAATAATGGTAGAGAGTATGTTAACCCACATTTCTCTACCTTCTTGAAGGAGGATAGTATTATTGATGAACTCATTTGTGGATACTCCTCAACAAAATAGTGTTGCTGAAGTAAAGAATTGACATTTACTTGAAATTAATAGATATTTACTCTTGCAAATGTCTATTCCCAATTCATATTAGGAGGAAGATGTCTTAATGGCTACTTGACTCCCAAGTACTTGGTAATGTCAGTCATATTCACCTTATGATTTCTCTAAAATCCCGAGTCTTTGGTTGTGTGACCTTTGTCCATGTTCACTGCCAACACCACAACAACTTGATCATCGTGTTGTCAAATGTGTTTTCATGGGTTATGTTCCTCACCAGAAGGGATATTTATGCTACCACCCTTCAAGTCATCGCTTCTTTGTTTCCATGAATATCACATTTCATGAACATGTGTTTCACTATCCCCGTCTTTGGCTTCAAGGGGACAACGTTCATGAGTTCATAGTTGAAGTTGAGTTCTTCCTCCCTGAGTCCCATTTTTCCTTGTTCTCTTGCTTTACTAATCACGATCTAGTGCCTTATACTAGTGACACAACTAAATAATTTCTTGATTGGCTAAGGCCAAGATTGGTCCACCACAACTAGTGTATCAAAGAAGGGAGGGAAACCTGAATAGGTCCAATAACAGCTTCAGTCGTCTGAGCCTATAGTAAGTATCGAAAATACTGCTTCTTATATTTTTAACCCTGATACTTTAAATATTCCTTTACATAATGGTGAGAATGACCCTGATGACTTCATATTGTCTCTACAAAAAACCTATCCTTGCAACACGAGGTTTATTTCAACCCTAGTGCAAGATCCATTGAAGAATAAGAACTGCATTCAAGCCATGAATGAGATGAAGGCATTGGAGAAGAATGGAATATGGAAGATGGTTGAACAACCAGGAGAAAAGAACCAATCGGTTGCAGGTGGACATTAACCTTGAAATGATGATAAATTGGGTGAATTTAAAGCATGGATAGTTGCAAAAGAATACACCCAAACTTGCAAAACCGATTATCAAGAGACATTTGCTCTAATGTGTAAGATGAACACGACAAGAATTTTACTCTCTCTCTCTACTAAACATGGGTGGGAATTGCAACAATTTGATGTTAAAAATGTCTTTCTTCGTGGAGACGTGGAGGAGGAAGTTTAAATGGAAATTCCACCCAAATATGATTTTACAAATGGAGAAAATGTCTGTAAGTCAAAGAAGAGCATATATGAACTGAAGCAACCTCCTCGTGCATGATTTAGAAGATTCACTAAGGCAATAGTGTCCCTGAGATACAGGCAAAGTCAAGTTAACCACACCCATTTCTTAAAGCATTCAAAGGAAGGAAAACTAATTGTGTTACCGGTATATGTCAATGACAAAATCAAAACAAGTAATCACTCAATTGAGAAACAACATCTAAGGAAAAAACTAGCAACTAAATTTGAGATGAAGGATCTTAAAAAACTAAAACACTTTCTCAAGATTGAAGTGGCCTACAATTAACAAGGTATCTTTACTTTTCAAAGTAAGTTAATATTCTCCTAAGGGAAATTAAGAAGCAAGGACATAAAGCTAGTAGTGTACCAATTGAGAAAAATCATTGAATGGGAAATGAAGAAAGACCCAAAGTTAATAAAGCTTTATATTAGACGATGACCCTTGAAGCGGTAGTAAGGTTGCTCATGTGATTAGAAGGTCACAAGTTCGAGTCCAATAAACAATCTCTTTGTAAAAATACAAAAGTAAGATTGCGTATAATTGAACTTCACCCCTACCCTCGCAAAGTTAGGTAACATTGTGCATTGGATTTGCTCTCAATTTAGCAAAGGTTGGTCGGTAAGTTGGTATACTTGGCACATGCTAGACCAAATCTTGCAAAATATTGTTAGTGTTTTTAGTCAGATATTTACAAGTAGTGGACTATGCAAGGTCTCAAAGTTGCACCCAGAATAGGATTATTATTCAAAACGGGTAGACATTTATCCATGGAACTATGTACTGATTCGGACTATGCAAGGTCACACACACACACACATATATATATATATATATATATATCAACATTAACATCAATAACATATTTATCCCAAACTAGTTAGAGTCGGTGGTAGATGAACCCAAAAAATGGTACGAAAAGATTGTGAAAAAAAAACTTAATATATGTATATATATATATATATATATATATATATATATATATATATAGAGAGAGAGAGAGAGAGAGAGAGAGAGTGAGGATATTCTAACTACCAAAAACTCTCACTACTAACTTACTACTCATCACATCACCATTGGATGAAAGAGAGAGAATGTTAAAAAGTTTTTGAAGAGAGAGAAAATGTTAATCTAATGGTGATTAAATAGGTAGCAAGTTGGTAGTGAAAAATTTTGGTAGTTAGAATATCCCTCCTATATATATATATATATATATATATATATATATATATATATATATGTATGTATATATAATATTATCCATAGAAAAGTAGTAGACAATTAAAAGGAAAAATAAATTAGAATAATATACAAATAAGAATATATAAGAGGACAGAAGAGAATAAGAAGGTAAGAAATAAAAAATAGATAAATAAATAAAATAACATAAAAAGGGATATAGGAAAAAGGAAAAGAAAAACACATAAATAAATAGGAAGGAGAAAAAGATTGAAAGGAAAAGTGGAGTAAAAGAGAAGAAGGAAGAAGAAAGAGAAGGGGGAGATTAAGAGGAAAAGGAGGTCAACTTCTGGTTATGCTATGTTCTTGGGTGGAAATTTAGTTCCATGCAAGAGTAAGAAACAAAAAGTTGTCCCCAATCAAGTGTGGAAGCTGAGTTTTGGGTTATGGCCCAAGGAGTTTGCAAGCTGCTAGCCTGCTATAGATGATGACTATATTGGGTAATATGAGGATAAAGTTACTCCGTGACAAATCAACCATCAACATTGCCCATAATTCTATTCAGCGTAATAAACTAAACATATTAAGTGTTGAGATATATAAAACCATTAATATAGCATCACTCAACAACTTAATCTTTTAGGTTGAGTTGGTTCTTTACATGGTATCAGAGTCTCGGTGTACCGGGTTCGATCCTGACCGCCCCCCGCTTTCTTTCTAGTGGAATTTTTTTCTTCGCACAGGTAGATGGGCCTGTGCATCGTCCACCCTTCAAGCCCAGTGGACTCTCGTGTGAGGGGGCGTGTTGAGATATATAAAACCATTAATATAGCCTCACCCAACAGCTTAAGCTTTTGGGTTGAGTTGGTTCTTTACATTAAGATAGGCCGACATTTTAGAAAAGGGAACTAGATAGTCAACTTATCAACACAACTTATCTTTCCTCAAAGGTTCAGTTGGCAGATGTGTCAATGAAAGGACTTCCTACAGAGAGGTTACTGGCATGCTGGAAATGACAGCTATTCATTCATCAGCTCAAAGAGGAGTGTTGTAATAGTTCCACATTAGTCCCGCATACTTCACCACAAAATATTATGTGTAAGTCATTGTAATTATTTTAAAATTTATGTTATCATTGTTTAGTCATTATATTAGGAAAGTAATTATTAGCTAGGTCTATATATTAGACTGAATCTATGTACAAATTATTCGAAAATAATATGCAGTAATTTTCCATTCAAGTATTATTTTATTTCCTAGAATATTTAATGCATTTGAAATGTAGCAAAAACTCAGTATGGACCGTATTAGTAAAAACTGTCAAGTCTCAAGTCAAGTGAAGAAATTCCGGTACTTATCTAAGGATCATAATCAAATGGATAAGCCATTAGTCGACCATGATAAAAAGAGTATTTATGACTTACATCCTTGAAGAACCAAAATATGAAGTAGAAACATACCTCGTTTTTAGCAGCTATATCTTTTCCACTCCCTTCGACAGACCTCAAAGCAAGTTCAAGATAGTCACGGGGTGTTATCTTTTGGTTATCTTCTACTAGGTCCAAATAGAAGTCCTGTCAGCAAGAGGAAAGACAAATGAGGCAAAGAATGGGACTAGACAGCAAAAAGTAAGTTAAGATATCATCAGATTGGAAGATCGAGATACAAAGTTTCCAAAAATATGTGATGCAGCACAGTAACAAAAGATTTCTAAACATCATACTCTTAGAAGCCAAACAAAAATTGGGGAAAACTGTCCCAGTTCAGATGCAGAACTCCTTCCTCCAGATGCTCTAACACGAATGTGCTTTGTCATTTGAGTGACAAAAGAAAGGCGATCTATGGCAGCCTCATCAATACCACCCATCTAGGCAAAAGAGAAGAGGGAACAGATTCATATGCTTAGAATGAACCCACAAACTGGTCATCAAACAGCAAAATGAAAGAATATGTACAAGTAAAATCACATTTGATTATGCCTAAATATAGGTTTCCATAAGCTGTCCCAACCTGGTTATAAATGAACATGCTAGACAAAAGGACAGCCAATGAGAAGATCTGGGTGCTGTATTTTCCCTGCAAAGTGTAAAAAAAAGGAGAGGATACAATGGTTGGAAATGGGAAACCTACATGTACACAAGAAACTAAATACTAAAAGTACTACAATATTACTCCAACAATTAGCATCAATACCTAAATTCAAAAGTGATTAGAACACCAAACAGACATAAATAAAAGAAAACATATATCTATCACTTAGAAAACTCAAGCTAACCGTTTGATCATAAGCATCTATTCCTTCACTGTCTAATAGCAGGAGATTGAACTCTGTTCCATCAAGAGCAGTTCTCTTTAATGGCGCACTCCACAACCAAAGCCCTTTTGTACATGGTCGATGTGTTGATGCTACTTGAAATCCATTACTCCTCCCTAATAGCTGCATTATAAATATTATAGTAATGAGAACAAAATCTCATATCTTTTATTTCAAAACATAAACCCCCCCCCCCCCCCAAAAAAAAAATGCCAGAAGAAAGTCACATCTCATACTGATATAAAAACAAACGGTACAAATCAAAACATTTTCTTAACATGCAACAAATTTACTTCTATAACAAACTTCGCTGGCCACCAAATGTTCGATGGAGATGAAGAGGTAAAACGAACAAACAAAATTAAATTTCTTATAGCCAATATTAGCCAAAGCAAAGTTACAAGTAGTCAAATACTATAGCTGAAAGAGATTTAGGGCCCTTTTAGATGGAATTTTTTTTTCTCCAAAAGCTAATTTTTTTCAAAAAAAACACTTCTCACTGTAAGTTCGTTTGGATGTCTACTTTAAAAAAAAGCAAAATTCACAAAAAAATCCAAAAATTTACTTTTTTTGGAAGCTAAAAATTTTAGCTTCTAAAAAATGCAGAAATCAAAAGCCAAATATTTTTTTTCAAAAACTCAACATTTTTTAAAAATTTTAAATAGCTTTAACTTTTGTAAAAAGTACTTCTAAAATAAGCAAGGCATAAAAGCTACTTTTTTTAAATGGCCAAACAAACAGGCTCTTAGACCTTTACATAAGGAATCCACATATCAAGCAAGCCTAGAAGTAGTTAATTTCATCCCATCATTATGATCATTTCTTCCTGTTGTAACCTATGACATAGATATGTAGGGTATAGAACAAATAAATCCACAGACTAGGGAACCTCCCCTTAAAATGAAAAGGTGATAACTCAATCGGAGAAGTATCTAACATCCTACCCAAGCAGCACAACATTATATGTGATGATGATGATCAGTTATGCAATCAAACCTAACAGTTAAAAGATAAAAAAAGCATTAATTCACCAAAAGTAATTTGTCTAACACATGTAATGATTGACTGCACATATGGAATATTAGCTAAAAAATAAATTACCTTAATAACCTGCACACTGTATAAATTCCTACAAATGCATCTGTAATGAAAATCTAAAATAGGCTCTGCAAGCTACCAAGTTAACAATAAAAGTAGACTGTTCATTAGAAAATGCTTAAGACAATGATTTACACATTTCTTCCAACCAATCTAGGATAAAGAATGGCATTTTATTCTGAGCCATTCTATGGATTAAACTAGTTGTAACCTCTCCCAGACTACGCCAAGCCCACTTCTAATAAGACTTAGATCAAAGCATAGATCACCTATACATGGTGTTGTAAAATAATAATATTTATTTATTTATTTGTTGTATTGGGCTTAGCCCATTAGGTCATGTAATCTCTTTAAATAGAGAACCCTTTGTACAGTTTACATACAATTTCAATAATATATTTCATTACCCTTTTTCAAGTTCGTATCAGAGCTCTCGATTATGAGGGCTTTACTTCCGCAAATCACCGTCTTTAAAAATCAAACCCTATTTGCCTCTCGCCGCCACAAAGTCGCCGTCGGAAAAAAATTTCGGGGGACCTTTTGGACCGTGAGGACCCTTGTTTCACTCCGTTTTCTTAGATCTATCATTCTACGGAGGTTTCTTTTTCATCAGAAGATCGGAACAGCTCAAAAAAAAAAAAAAAACGATATTGTTCATCGCGCACTGTTCATCGGGTACTGTTCACAAAAAAACTTTTCCTGCTTGGTTTTGTCTCTGATCTAACGTCATTTGGGTGTACGTTGTGTGTTTTTGGTGCTGTTTCTCACTCTTTCTCATCACTATGGCCGATTTAGAAGATGGTTCAATTAATACGCGGTCTCCACATGTCTCTCCATATGTGAATATTCAGCAAAGGGAGTTGGATCAGCTTAAACCCGCTATTGATAATATGTGTAATCCATCTGACCGTTCTTTGATCTTGTCTGGTAAGAACACACGTTCTACATCTCTTCTTACTTCTTGCACTGATTTTAAAACCTCATGGATTTTGGATTCTGGTGCAACTGATCATATGACTTGTCGTACTGAATTTTTTCTTTCTTATCATCCTATTGTTGGTAGTCATACTAATCCATAGCTGATGGATCCCATAAATCAGTTATTGGTTCTGGTAACATTCAAATTCAACCTTCCTTGTTTCTTAAAAATGTTCTTTATGTTCCTCAGCTTTCTACTTGTTGAGATATATAGTCCCACATTGGTTGTATGTGCAACTAATGTGAAGTTTATAAGGCCTTGGGCACTCCCACCCTTTGAGCTAGCTTTTGGGGTGGTGTATCCCAAGGTTCTTTACATGGTATCAGAGCCTGGTTCCGATCCACATCCTACCTGTGCGAACAAAGAAATTCCACTTGAAAGAAAGTGGGGGCAGTGAGGATCGAACCCGGGACACGAGGCTCTGATACCATGTAAAGAACCAATTCAACCCAAAAGCTTAAGCTATTGGGTGAGGCTACATTAATGGTTTTATATATATACCATGTAAAGAACCTTGGGATACACCACCCCAAAAGCTAGCTCAAAGGGTGGGAGTGCCCAAGGCCTTATAAACTTCACATTAGTTGCACATACAACCAATGTGGGACTATATATCTAACCACTACTAATCTTATCTCCACTCAAAATCTTACAACTGATTTGAATTGTTCTATCACATTTTTCCCTTCTCATTATGTTTTTCAGGATCTTACCACGAAAAAGACAATTGGAGTTGCTAATGAGCAGGATGGGTTGTATTATCTCCTTCCAGAACATGCTATAAATGATAAATCTTATCTCCACTCAAAAACTTACAACTGATTTGAATTGTTCTATCACATTTTTCCCTTCTCATTGTATTATTCAGGATCTTACCACGAAAAAGACAATTGGAGTTGCTAATGAGCAGGATGGGTTGTATTATCTCCTTCCAGAACATGCTATAAATGATAGCAAAAATCAGTTATTAATGACACGTCATCCTCCTACTGCAGAGTCTATGATTTGGCTCCATCACAAGCGTCTGGGGCATCCACCATTCAGTCTATTGAAGTCAATGTTTCCTTCTTTGTTTCTAAATCAGTCAGTTGAGACCTTCCATTGCGATGTTTGTGAATTTGCAAAACACCATCGAGTGTCATTTCCTTCTAGCACTATCAAAAGCAGCGAACCTTTTTCTCTTATCCATTCTGATGTTTGGGGCTTCTAAAGTGCATAGTGTTTCAGGTGCAAGTTGGTTTGTTTCTTTTATTGACGATTGTACTCGGGTAACATGGATATTCTTGATGAAAGACAAGTCTGAAGTACCGGAGATATTTATTCGATTTCATCACATGGTTGAGGCTCAGTTTGGTAAGTGTATTAAAAGAATAAGATTTGATAATGGTATTGAGTACGTTAACCAACGCCTGTCGCAATTCATTTCAGACAGAGGTATGATTCATGAGCTCACATGTGTTGATACCCCTCAACAAAACGGGGTTGCTGAAAGAAAAAATCGTCACCTCCTTGAAGTTCCTAGAGCACTACTTTTCCAGACATCTGTTCCTAGTTCTTATTGGGGAGAAGCCGTGTTAGCTGCAGCCTTTTTTGATCAACCGCTTACCTTCACGGGACCTTAACAATACCCGTCCTATTCATTCCATGACTTCCTTCTTTCTTTCTGTTCCCATTTTACAGAGCCTTCCACCAAGAGTGTTTGGATGTGTTGCCTTTGTCCATGTTCATAAACAACATCGCAGTAAGTTGGATCTTAGGGCTCTTAAGTGTGTCTTCATTGGTTATGCCCCTGATAAAAAAGGGTACAAGTGCTATCATCCACCAAGTCGAAATTTTTTTGTTTCTATGGATGTCACCTTTCAAGAATCTGAGTCTTATTTCCTGGGTCTTCATCTTCAGGGGGAGAACAGTTCTTCAGAAGACTCATCCCTTTCCTTCTTTGAGTCTGGATTGTCCTTGTCTACTCCTACACCTCTTCCTAGTGTGTCTGCTCCTGGTGTGTCAGAACCTTCAAATACACCTGAGATACGAAAGATTCTAACACCTAAATTGGTATATCAGAGGAGGAAACAACCCATATTGTCTCACCAGCAACCTCAATCGTCTGAACCACTGGTAAGTCATGAATCTCCAATTTCTGATTCTAATATTATTGCCTCTCATGATTTGCCTATTTCTTCTGATACCTCTAATGAGGTACCCATTGCTTCTGCTTCTGATGACTTACCTATTGCCCTAAGAAAAGGGAAAAGATCTTGTACTCAATTCCCTATCTCCCATTTTGTTTCTTCTACTAATCTTTCTGTGCAGCACAAAAGCTTGGTTTCAGCACTAGATTCTATTTCAATCCCAAAATCAGTACATGAAGCATTGAAAGATGAGAATTGGGCTCAAGCCATGCAAGAGGAGATGAATGCGTTGGAGAAAAATAAAACATGGGAGGTTATTGATAGACCCAATGGAAAAAAGGCAGTAGGGTGCAGATGGGTTTATGCCCTAAAGTATAATTCTGATGGCACTCTTGAGAGATATAAGGCTCGGTTAGTCGCCAAGGGTTACACTCAGACCTATGGCATTGATTATGAAGAAACCTTTGCTCCAGTTGTAAAGATGAATACAGTGAGAGTCTTGTTATCCCTTGCTGCCCATTACAATTAGGATATAAATCAATTTGATGTGATGAATGCTTTCCTTAATGGTGAGTTAGAAGAAGAAGTCTACATGGAAATCCCGCCTAGTTTTGATTATGTGGACGAAGAAAATAAAGTTTGTAGATTAAGAAAAACCTTGTATGAATTGAAGCAGTCACCTCGTGCCTGGTTTGGGAGGTTTACTAAGGTTATGATGACCTTAGGATACAAATAGAGTCAAGGAGATCACACTCTTTTCTTTAAGCACTCCCAAGATGGGAAGCTCACTGTGCTCCTTATATATGTTGATGATATTATTATAACAGGTGATGATTTTGTGGAGAGACATATTCTGCAAACACGATTAGCCTCTAAGTTTGAAGTTAAAGACCTTGGAAAACTGAGATATTTCCTAGGGATAGAGGTAGCTCATTCAAACAAAGGAATTTTTATCAGTCAGAGGAAATATGTTCTTGATCTTCTCAATGAAGCAAGAAAGCTTGGGTGTAAACCTTCGAATACTCCTATTGAGCAGAATCACAAGATAGGTTATGAACAGGAGAGTCCTCCAGTTGATAAAGGAAAATATCAACGGCTAGTTGAGAAACAGATATATCTGGCTCATACTAGCCAGACCTAGCTTATGCTGTTAGTGTTGTCAGTCAGTTTATGCACGATCCAAAGGAGAACCACATGCAGGCAGTGGAGAAAATTCTTCAGTATCTTAAAGCCACTCCTGGTAAAGGACTAATATTCCGGCGTGATGGCAATCTCTCTTTAGAAGTTTACACTGATGTTGATTATGCTGGATCTGTGACTGACCGTCGTTCTACTACTGGTTATTGTATGTTTCTTTGTGGTAACTTGGTGACGTGGAGAAGTAAGAAACAAGATGTAGTTGCCAGATCAAGTGCAGAGGCTGAATTTTGAGCTATGGCTCAAGGCATTTGTGAGTTATTGTGGCTGAAAATTGTACTTGATGATCTCAAAATAAAATGCGAGGGACCTATGAAGCTGCTATGCGGTAACAAGTCCGCTATTTGTATAGCTCATAATCCAATTCAACATGATCAGACTAAACATATTGAGGTCAACCGCCATTTCATCAAAGAGAAACTTGATAGCGGCTAGATTACCACTCCATACATTCTCACTGGGCGTCAATTAGCTGATGTATTGACAAAGGGACTTCCTTCAGACAGATTTCAAGAGCTTACTAGCAAGCTGAGATGATAAATATCTCTTCCTCAGCTTGAGGGGGAGTGTTGTAAAATAATAATATTTATTTATTTATTTGTTGTATTGGGCTTAGCCCATTAGGTCATGTAATGTCTTTAAAAAGAGAACCCTTTGTCCAATTTACATACAATTTCAATAATATCTTTCATTACCCTTTTTCAAGTCATGGTTAGGAAACTAAACTAATATCATACTGTTCTTTTTTATATGTATCTACTCATTAGTAAATTATTCAGCTTGAAAATTAAATTTCTTAAATCTACATGACCCTTGAACCAACGGTAATATTGCTCCGTTGTGATCGGAAGTTCACAGGTTAGAATATGGAAAATAGCCTCTTTGCAAACAAATAAAGATAAGGCTGCATAAAATTGACGCTCAAACCTACCCTTGCAAAGTCGAGGAGCCTTGTGCACTAGGCTTGCCCTTTAAATCTACATAATTCAATGGCATAAGGTAACCTTAATGTAAAATATATAAGGCAAAGTTTCTTATTTTGAATCTTCACTAAACCCCTCAATCTTAAAAGAATATTTTAAAATTTATATGTAAATAATGAATATTTACTTTGAGCTGTTTTTATAATAGTTAATGAAAGAGCCAGTGTTGCATATCAGCTAGGTGTATAAGACACAAAACTCCCATTTAAAGAGGAAGATCTCATCTCTTATCATCAGCCTGGGTTTTAGGGTTGCTTTATCCTTTACAGCAGCAAAAGGATTTCGATTTGAGCTTCTTCCTCTGCTCTTGAATAATATTGATTAGGGGTCAGGGAAACATTTTTTAGTCTTACCCCTCCACTCTGAAAACAGTCCTCGAGCTTTTAATATGCTACTGCAACATAGGACAATCCAACATTCTCAGGGACATATAGTTTCTTGAGTACAAAAAAATGTCCTAAAACCTCAATACCTAGCACAGGAAGCTATTCATGAAGAATCATCCTTGGACCATTTTTTTATGTATTTTTATTTTTACTTTCTTATTTTATTTTCTCTCTTATGTATCTTTATTTTCACTTCATTTTATTTTATTTTATTCTTCTTCTTAATTGTTTATTGCTACGTTTTCATTTCTATTGTTATTTCTATTTTTTTTTTATCCTTTTTTTTCCTTCAACTTTTTCGTTCATTTTCGTTTGGGTTTATCTGTGACTTACCTCAATTAGTTTGGGATCAAGGTGATGACGTGATGTTGATGTTAACCTCTTTTAAGACTAGTAACAGGCTAACAGCATAAGCTCCAAACCCAATGTATAAAAACCATTACTCTTCTTCAGTTAAACATCAAAGTCAAAGAGTTTTAAGTGGCACGAAAAAACTGTTCACAACTTTTTCTCTTCTGCACAATCACAGGTTACAGAATAGCTCCAGAATATTAAGCACAATATACAGAGACATCCAAATGGCGATAACAATCTACAAAACAAACTTACTGTTGCACATGAATAAGCAAACAAATGACAAATGTACCCACTCAAAATCACAAAACCACTATCCACTGTGCTCCATCAGGTAGACACAAAAGCGGCCCCCAATATAATCAGAGACTACGTAGTAACAAAAAAGGGGGTATTTCAGCATAAACACAAAAATAACCTAAAATTATCTCACTCAATCACAGTCCATGGTTAAAACACTAGCAAAAACAACAGCACGGAATGCCCTTCCACAATCCTAATGAACAATGCGTCCAAATTAAAAGTTAAAACCCTAAACTCCAAACCATAAATCTTTCATTCACTTCAAATGAAAAATCACCTGATTCAAAATGAAGCTCTTGCCTTGGCGAGCCCGTCCACAGACAGAGACCACGCCGATAGGTTCCTTGACGAGCTGGAGTGTGGCGACGCCTTCCGGGTCCATGCGGAACTTTCCCTTGTCGTCGCAATAGATGAGGCGTATTGGCTTCGCCGGGCCGGTCACCGGCGACGAAGAGGGCGTCGCCGCCGGAGAGGTTGGTGAGGCATCGGCGGCATTGTCCTTACCTCGATTGAAAAACCTGATCATCTTCTACTAATGATTTTGGTACCCTGTCTTTGTGTTTAAAATTGGGGAGGGAAACTGTGAAATGACCTTCCCCTTACGCATGACAGTTCCGCCACTCGCGCCAGGACCTTTCAGTCATTTCATTCTAACATTGTTTTCTGTGTTGCAACACTTGCAACGAAAGGAATTCTATTGATCGAATTTATTTCCTTAATCACTTATAAATTTGTCTGTTACATTAACAAATATATTTATTAGTAGAATAAAAGATATTTTCTTTTTAAGGATTGAGATCATTTCAAGGGTCAAAATCATTTTATGTGGATGTAAATTACACTTTCATTTTTTACCATTAATTTATTGAGAAAAATGTTTGTAATTTTAAATAACATAAAGTTATGTCACTTTAAGATAGAGATAGACACGGAATAAATTTTTTTATTTAAATTTTAAATTAATAAAAAACCATCCACTGTCTCTCTCCTATGATTTTCATTTTCTGTGTCTATCTCTTTCCTAAAATGACATAACTTATGTCATATAAAATGACAAACACCACGCCCTAATTTATTTATATTTAATAGTTATGATTTATTAAGGGATTAGTATTTATCTTTTTAAAAGACATAAAATTATATATTTTAAGCGAGAGAAATGATACACAATAAAAATTATGGGAAAAAAAATTGGAGGGAGTTTTTTTAATTAAAATTTCAATTAAAAAATAATAGTTTAAGGATCAGGATTTAAAAAGACAAACAAATTTCCAATTTGTTAAAGGAGAAAATGTGAATTATTAGATATAAACAAATTAATAGTCAACATTGAGTATAAAACTTCTTAATTTTACACTTAATATTGAAATTATATTTTTAATATATAATTTTTGGGATTAAATTCTTTCTTTATCTACCTTTCATGATTTATTTATTTTTTATCTTTTTGGTAAACAATAATGTCTTATTAGATATAATTATAGATTAGTCTCTTCTCTTTTATAATCACACCACTTCATAACATATTAACATACAACATTATTCATTTTTTTATTTATATTAAATTCGTATAATTTCAATAAATACAATATTATGTATCCATTTATTTATTTTTTCAATAAAAGTTTTTAATTAAAATATATATTTTAAAAAATATGTGATAATTAGATAATTTTGGTAAATAAAGAAAAATTTCAAACAAAAAATTCGTTTATTGGTAAACATATATATATATATATATGATAAAATCATTTTTATAACCGTTTTACGTACAACAATGACAGGTGTATGATTATGTTTTCCATATTTAGTACTTTCATCTTGTGTATGGTTATGATTTCTCACATTTAATATTTTCACACACACACACATATATATATATGGCAAGTATTTAACTGCTACACGTACAACAACCGGAGAAATATAAATCCTATATAAAAGGTTTATTATTGATTTTTTTTAATAAAAAGGAAAGAGAGGGATTATTAGCTCCCAAGGTTCACGTCCTATTTTTTATAATTACAAATTTACAATCCCTTAACTAATTGGCTTACGATTTTTGAGGTGTATAATTAGTTTGTTAATTCCTCAACACATTACAATATTACGTTGGCTAATGTGTTCATAAAGTGTAAGAAAACAATACTTTTGGAATCAAAGAAAAAATCAGATTATATACAAATTATTAATGCTTTAAGCAAACTCACTTAATTAGTAAGTAAGCCAATTCAATTAGGCTTTGAATTGACTAAAGCTACAAAGAAGTTGAGCCAAAAGATTTTATGGAAACTAGATCAAGATAAAAAAAAATTTGCACAAATTTTGAAATATAGTGAATTTTGTTATAAACTACATATTATCTCATCCCACTTAGTAAGCAGGCCAATTGAATAAGTCTTTGAATTGACTAAAGCTACAAAGAATTGGAGCCAAAAGATTTTATATATAGAAAACAGATCAAGATAATTTTATTATAAGCTACACATTATCTCATACAATCAATTAACATGTTCTTTTCCCACTTTTTACAAATCCTCTCCGATTTTCGTTAAATTTATTAAAGGAGATATTTAATCATCATAAACTGCTAAGTATAAATTATTGGTTTATAAAATAATTTCAAAACTGGTTTTTTTCTTAGAACAGTTATTTGGATACTCTCTTTTTAAATCAGAAGCTACTTTTAAGCTAAAATTAAAAACAAAATAAGAAATAAAAAACTGTTTGATGATTACATAAAAAATTTAGTTTAAAAACACATATTTCAAGAAAAATCTCTCTTATCTCTATAGTTATTCATTTCAAAAAAATACATAATTCAAGAAAAATTGATAAGAGATTAAAAAAAAACTCCTCTAGGAACTTTTATCTTTTGACCTTTTTCTTCATTATAAAAAAAAAAGTTTTTCATTATAAAATTTGTGTCAAAACCTGTTTGGCCAAAGAAAAACTAAAAAAAATGGTTCATTTTTACTAATGTTATTTTTGTAAAATTTATCTAATGTTCACTGAAACGATATTATTGTGTGTGTTTCTAATTTTAATTTATTTCAAGGTTATAATTCTAATTTTTTAATATTTTAATCCAAAACGAATGCCCTTTGGGTGAACATTAGACAAAAATTTTTAAAATAACATTAAATACTTTATTTAAAAAAAAAATCCAAACAATCGCTTAGTACAACAAATCTCACTCTTTAAAAAAAGGAAGGACATTTGCCGGTGCATTTTCTATGCAATTATTTATGGGTATGCTTGACTTGGTCTGGTTTTCTGATGTATATTTCTAACATCAATACCGTGAAACTCACCAATGTATTAATTGAGGGATAAAACGTTTTTCAAGGATAATTAGAACATCGTTTTCCATGTGATTCTTCAAATCCAATATGAACTTGTCCTTATCAATTAGTTGAAACATAATGTACAAAATTTAAATCTCTCTTTCACAGCGTACAAGAAATGAAACTTAAAACAAAACCAGGTAAAAATGAGGAAAATTTGCCACCTTATTTCTAAGTTCATAAATAAAATTTTACAAAAAAGAATTAAAATCTTTAACAGTGAATTTTATTATATTAAAAACAGAAGTCATAAAATCAACTAACACCAAATCTTTTCTCACTTGATTTCTAATTGAATAAAAGTTCTCAAAGGATAAATTTTCACACATTGGTAACTAATTACCTCGAAGAACCATGTGGATTTTCTATACAAATACGGGAATCCTTGACTTTGTCTGGTTTCCTCTAACAACCATAACCTGAGACTTTCTAAATCTCCAAGCATAATTAGAACATCGTTTTCCAAGAGATTTTTCGGATCCAAGACAAACTTGTCCTCATAGACTAATTGAAACATAATGTACAAAATCTCTCTTTCTGGCTTTTCAACATAAGAAGAGAGATTTATTATAAGAAGAAGAAAAAAGAGGAAACTAAGAACTACATTTAATTCCTCTTTTAAGGAGAGAAAATAAAAAAAGCAACATATGTTGAAACTAACCATACAATGAGCAATCAGCTCTTAGCTGAGAGCATGTTTTCGATCCTCTTCGTTATCATCTTTTAGAAGGGATCCGGATTAGTTTATAAGAACATTATCGGACGGAGAAATTCAAAAATAAAAAATAAAAATAAAAATCAGATGGTCAAAGCCACAAGGCACCAGCATCCTTTAGTATAGGAACCAATTCACCTGAGATATGAGTGGCCATGACTCTTTCCAACCCTCCGAACAATTTCCCACCGACGAACACCGCCGGAAACTGCAGAGCTTCGACGCCGCAGCCAGGCTGGGTGGACAGGTGGGCGGCGAGGGCAGGTTCATGGTCGTCATCGACCTCGTAGACAGGAGGGTTGACTCCTAAACCTTGTAACAACCTTTTGACAACGTGGCACATGCAACAACCACGTCTACCAATAATTATCACTGCGTTCTCCGAAACCATTCTGATGGCTTTGGATGGATCCCCGCCGTTGGCTTCTTGGATCCCTCCGGCGACTGGCAGATCACGTGAGTCACGTGTGCCGGCAGTGATCCAACTCTTATATGGGATTGCTTGGTGCATGATATTCAGAGAGAGAGAGAGAGAGAGAGAGAGAGAGAGAGAGAGAGAGAGAGATTGTGACCAGCGAGGGGAGGGAGGGAATAGTGGAGGGCAGAGGTGGAAATATAAGAAAATTGCGGGGAGGGGGAACTATAACGTCAATGGCAGTTACGCACTCGTGCGTCACCGCTGCTGTGAGTGATGCGATATTGCGTCACTGACTCGGTCAACAGATTCCTGGAAGTTACATCCACTGCACTCGTGAGTCGTGACGAGAAATGCTACGATACTGCCGTCTAATGCTGGAAATTTTATATATAATTTAAGAGTTTAATCTTTATTAACGTTATAAGAAATAATTTTATCTTTTACACAAAATTATAAATATGTGGGATCATGTGAAAAGAATAGTGAGAAAAATATGTTTTAGGAGATAAAATTTATTCCCTAACACATAATAAATATTATTCTCATAATTTAACGATATTTTATTTTTAATATTACAATTTATATTTTTATATTATGAGCTACTTATGTAAATATCTCTAAAAAAATCTTGAAAATTAATTTTTAATAAAAGTTTATATGAATATTTTTATTACAAATAAGATTTCTTTTTTTTAGATTGATGGTTGTCCTTTTAAAAAATATAAAATTACATCATTTCAAGTGAGAGAAAAAGATATACAATAAAAATTATGACATAGAAAGTGAAAGTTTTTTTAATTTAAATTTTAAATAAAAATATTAATTTTAACTAAAATAACTATCCTTTAACAGAACAAATAATTTTCCCTTTAGTTTAACATGCTTTGAAAATAAAATTATTTTGCACAATTACAGATGTGTTTGATTATATTCTGATTTTTTATTCTTAAATTTTTTTCGTAGAATAGTTAATGAAATAAGAGTTTTCTATAAAAAAAAGTTTATTAAAAATTAAAAGTCAAAACACAAAACAAAAAAAATTCATATAGATTCTTTAAATTTGATTTTAAAAATTAAAAACAATTATAATTTTTAATTTTTTTTACAAGTCAAGGCTTATTAAACGAGTTTTTTTATTTGTATTCTAAAAATCAATAAATTCTTTTTTGAACAGATTTCAAACATACTCTACGTTTCTTTTACTTATATCGGAGTTTGAACTGTAAAAGATTTTATAAGTGTATGTTTGTTCGTTTGTTTTGGTCTGGTATGTTTATTTTCAGTACGTTTGTACCCCAACTTTTAAAGAAAATATGTTTATGGTCTATTTTTTGAAAACCTTTTGTTAGGGGATCTTTTATTTAACTAATTACCTTAAAATTTTAAACAACAGTTTGTGTTAATAAAGTAGGTTTTATTTAAAAAATAATCACTTTTTTATAAATTCTTTTTAAAAAATACAAAAATTAATTTTTTTTAAAAATGAACTAATATGGATACACAGTAAATCATTTAAAGATCTCTCATCCGCTTGTTTGGATGGACTTTTTTTTTCTTCAAAAGCTGTCTTTTTAAAAGAAGAAAAAAACACTTCTCAAATAAAATCTGTTTGGATGTATGCTTTTAAAAAAAAGAAGCCAAAAATCAGCTTTTTCTGAAGCTACAAATTTTAGCTTCTAAAAAAATAAAAGCCAAATATTTTTTTAAAAAAATCTAAATAGCTATACCTTTTATAAAAAGTACTTTTAAAATAAGAAAGTCATAAAAACAACCAATGAGTAATATAAGAATGAGAAATTATTCTCTTATGTAGTAGGAAAAAGTTGTCTTATGAACCCCCTAGGGTAGCTCAGTTGGCAGCTGAGCTCCCAAGAGATTGTTTGGTGCAGGGATCAAACCATGTCTCAAGCAGTTTCTTGGAAAATCTTTGGGGGCCAGAGGATAAGCCAAAAATCTTCGGTTGGGGGATTAGTCTCGTCCTTTCTCCAGTTGCGAAGCTTAGTGCACTCACTGTTACAATGAGGGGCTAGCCCAAACGGGCCGTACCCCGAGGGCATGGTGCCCGGAGAAGGTTGAATGGGGATACCTCCTGGCAATGTACCAAAAAAAAAAAAAAATTGTCTTATGATATAGATACATTGATAAGTGTGTCATGTTATTTATTTTTATTTTTTATCAACACATGGTGCGACCCATCATTTGTTGAGTTTATGACATAAGAGAGAGTGTCACCTATAATATGAGATTAGATGCTTCTATAACAATAGTATTTATTTATGAGTTTTATTAATCTTATTTTAAAAAAGATAAGTTATCTAATGTCATAGAAATAAATTTATGGGCTCCTCCACTTGAAAAAAAAAAGTGGCACAGTTATCGAAGCGTTTGTAAGAGGAAAAACTTATCTCAGGTAATGAGAATAATTTTCCCCCTTATTTATGTAGTTGTGTATTATCTATAAAAAAATCATTGATAAATATCTCTAAATAATATATTTACAAGTAGCTTATAATGACATATTAAGAGCGTAAAATTAAATAACACAGAAAAAAATACATAGTTGTAGTTGAATTTACTAAAAAATGAAACAGATAGGTCGATCGGACTTTGAAAAAAGAATATTATTTATTTTTCATATATCATATTATTTATATATTACAGAATACATTGTGTGAGTTTACTTATATCTTTAACAATTTATTCTGTATTTTAAGTTTCATCTTAATATCTTATCCTATTTTCATTGAACGTATAAGAATGTTTAAAATCTTGATTGAACTTTAAAATCTTAAACTTCTCCCTTTGCTGTTTTAATGACTAATATAATTTTCAAATATAGATTGATACATAAAATTTGATGAGATTTTAAGCGAGTTATATTCTTAAGGAGAAAAATTAAAGTTCAAGTTTTAGAAAGAAAAAAAAAACAATTATTAAGAGAATTTATTAGTCACGGACCCACGGTATAGTTTAGGAGTTAATCTAACAGTAGCGCATTTGGACTATCCTTTGTCAAAATACAAAAAAAATAAAAATAAATAAAATTAAATTAAATAAAGCTTATTTTATTCTCTGAAAGGTGTAATAATTATCAATTTGATTTTTTTGGATAACTCTTTTAATTAATCTCACAATTTTTAGATTTCTAATATTGTAATCACTCCATCCAGATAATAAAGTTTAGAATGGTGGACTAGATGAATTAGAATATTAAAGACTTAATTTTGGATAGATTAGATTGACAAAATTAATATATAAAAATGTCAAAATGATAATTGATATATATTTTTTAAGTATCGAAACAATATTTAAATTTATTTATTTATATTATCATCCGTATCACAAATGATAGGTATTTCGATAAGAATGTTAATTTATAGGGAAAAGTTATACTTAGTATTTTTTATTATTATTTCTTTACTATCAAATTTTAATTGTTCATTTCAATTAATCTAACGATTAAAATTTATTGGGTCACATTTATTAATTAAATAAATTTCAATAAATTATAATCATTAAATTAACAAAAATCAACAGTGAAAATTTAATAATAAAAAATAATAAATATAATATTTTCTTAATTTATATTAACATAGGTATTATTAGGTCGTAAGTCCACGTAGATTGGTGTGACAGTTTTTCAACCCTATTAGGAATTGACAAGTCTTGTGCCACTAACAGGCGAGGACGGTGCAGCTAAACGACAACTTTCTGACGGTTTTGTCATCCATTTTCACCAACTCAACTCGCTGGCCACGTGGTGGTGGGAAGGAGTATGATGATCGCCGTCCACATGTTTCGGAGGCGTCGTTTTTCGAATACTGGGTGTGGGTGGTTCAGTTCCACTACACGTTTTCATCGAGTTTGTTTATTATTTAAAATATAAATAAAAATGGGGTCACACGGTTGAATTTTTAAGTTGGCATTCACCAAAAATTAAATTGGACCTGTGAATTTACACGTTAGGGGGTCATTGGATCATGTTTAGAGGTGTAAAAAAAATTGGTTCACTTGTGCTGTTCTTGATCTGACTTTGATCATATCTATAAATATCTATTTTTTGAACTGGGTTTAAATAATGACCCATTTTATTTGGGTCAGTTTTAGATCTGACTTATTTTAATAATGACTTATTGATCCAAAATTTGACCCATACCAATTATGTGAAAAAAAAATCACAATTACATTAAAAGAAAAGTTTTACCGTAAAACAATTACGTCAAAAAATTTTACGTAACAAATTTCCATCAAATTTTTCGAAAATTTTTTGACGAAAAATATTTTTATCAAAATTTGTGACTAAAAATATTAATGTAAAAAAATTTGATGGAAATGTTTTTTTTGTCAAATTCTTTTACAAAATCTAAATTTCGTCAAAATATTTCACAAAAAAATATATTCATAAAAAATTTTGACGAAACACATTTTCATCGAAATTTTTTTAAGGAAAAAAATTTCATCAAAATTCTTTATAGAATTCAAATTTCGGCGAAAGTTTTCGACGGAAACATTTCATTAAACTTTTTGACAAAAAAAAAATTGTCAAATTTTTTAGCAAAACATGTTTCCATCAAAAAATTTCGACTCAATATTTTCGTCAAGTTTTTTGATTAAAAACATTTTCATCAAAATTTTCAACTGAAAACATTTCTGTCAAAAAATTTCGCAAAATTTTTTGACAAAATATTTCGATAAAAAATTTTGACGGAAAAAATATTCTGTCAAAATTCTTTAGAGAATCTAAATTTCATCGAAAGTTTTGAATGAAACATTTCCCTCAAAACAATTTCCGTAGAAATTTTCGACAGAACACATTCCCATCAAAATTTTGAACGAAAAACAATGCTTCAAAATTTTCGACGGAATTCTTTTTTCGTTTAAAACATTTGATGGAGGAAATCTTTTTCGTCAAAACTTTTGATGGAAACTAAATTTCGATAGAAAATTTATTTTGTAAAAATTTTCATTAGAGGTCGCTTTTCGACAAAAAGTATTCCGACGAAAAAATAATTTTGTGACGAAATTTTCGTCGTTTGCAACGTAGAAATTTCGACGAAATTTAGTGAAGAAACCAAGTCAAAAGCGGATCAGGTCAGATTTGACCCACTTCGGAACCAAGTCAGAAGAACTTCAGAAACCAAGTCAGGATAGATCCGACCCAGTTCTGAACTAGTTTAAAAAAGTTCAAACCAAGTCAGACCTGACTAGGATCAAATTAAAGCAGGCCGAGTCAAAATACATGACCTATAAAAATCAAGTTGGATCGAGTCGGCACAAAAATCTGACCCGACCTGACCCATGCAGAGCCCTAATCATGTTATCAAAGCTATGTCACTCTCCCATTCTCCTTTGGGCTAAAATAGGTTGAGTAAAGTGCACAAATAATTTAGATTTATTTTGCACAAATAATTTATATTTATTTTCTATCAAATATATTTTTGAAAAGAACTTAAATCACATTACCGATTTAAAGAATTAAAAACTTATAGAGTTATTTGAGAGTTAACTCACTAGAGTTGGTATATATATATGAGATAGATCCTTTGACACCAGTGTCAAATTTAAAATTTGACACTTCATCTAATAGCCGTTAGATCAAAAAAGATCAACGTTTCTGATTTGTAAGCATGTGACACTATTGATCTTTTTTTATCTAACGACTATTAGATGAGGTGTCAAATTTCAAATTTGACACCGGTGTCAAAGGATCCTATCTCTCTATATGTATATATCAACTTCATTAATGTTACTGCAATCTTCCTCCCTTTTTTCGATGAATGCTAATTAGTTGTAGGTAAAAAAAATTTGTAAATATTTTAATTGGTTCATTGTTTTTTGATTAATTTGATTTGGGACATATCTCAAGATTAAGGCTTTAAATATCTCTTAAAGATAATATTAGGGAGAATTGAATATATATTCTTACCTCTACCTGCTTTGTTTTCTAGTACCATTATTTGGTTATTTCGAATGTAGTTGAATCATATAAGTGTAAATTAAACGAAATCCAATGTCTTATAAACATTTTATTAGGTAATAACATGTACTATTATATATATATGTCTTATAAACATTTTATTAGGTAATAACATGTACTATTATATATATATATATATATATATATATATATATATATATATATATATTGATTCTTTTAATCCAAGATTTAACATTAATTTAAGGTGTGTTTAGGCTAGTTTACATTTCCACTATATATCTTTCGGTGTTATCTATCTTTCTCAATATATTTTGGGTTTTTTATTTTTATTTTGGGCTATATTGAAATATTATGTGCAATAATATATATATATATATATATATATATATATATATATATATATATATATATATATATATATTACAAAAAATATCCAATCCCACGCCAACCAAAAAGGCATTTGGCATCCAAGGAGGAAAGTCAAATCTATTTAGTCTAAAGTAGAAGTTAATTCTGGTATTCCATTGTGTGCATGTTACACGCCTTGTGCTTGTGACCTGCCAAGTGCCAACCCCTGGAAATATGTTAGAAGGGAAAGAATATAACGTTAATTATGTATAACTATACATAATGGTTAAGAACTTAAGATTGATTTCATTTAAAATTAAACTCGGCCATTAAATATTATATTAAATGCTCAAAATTAACAAGACATTTGATTTTAAACAAGAACACCTATAAATTTCTTTTGAAAGCAAAATAACTCTATTCATATTTTAGTCATTTACACTTATAGTCATTTGATGAAAAAAAAGAGAGAATAGAAGAGTTTAATTTTTTTGGTGGATAAATACTTAATAGAAGAGTTTAATTTTAATAAAGAAAAAGAATCCTCATATTCTATGTTAAAATATATTATTTATTATCTTATTATATTATTTTATATTTTTTTATCATTTTTTAAATTTTATACATTTCAGAATTTATTTTTTATTTAGTTAGAATGTAAAATTTAATATAAACTTTTTACAAAGAAGAACCTTTTGATTATTAGGCTCACAAATACTAGATACATAACCCTATTACTATTGTTGATAAGTCCTTGCTAACTAATTAAATATTTAACTAGGCATGGTATATGTTTTTCCAACCATTTGGCCAGCAAAAAGAATGGAAATAAATAGAATAATTGTACGCTTTCATCGTTTGTCACTTGTTACAATCTTTTCCATCCAATCACCTTCGCCCCATGTAAAGTTAAAACGATGGACTCAACTCAACCTAGGCTATCCTCAACTATTTTGGTTTTGTAAATAATCTTCAAAGGGGCCCCACAATCCACGTTACCAATTTATCTTTGTACGCAAATCTTGACTTACCACGTCGTTTTGGAGGTACTGATAATAATTTATAATATATGCCAATCAATTGTACTAACAAATCATGCTGCATGTATTTTTCCACATTTGACGCACGTCATTTAATTGAAGGTTAATGACATATTCAATGACGACAGTCTCCCAATATTTTACTAGCCGAAAGCAAAGCAAAATAAGTGATAACACAATATATAATATTATATTGCCAACAATGTTATTGGCGTAGCTATATCATATTTTTACGTCTTTTTCTTTTGCAGCAATATTGTTTTAGGGTTTTATTAATGTTATATAATAGGAGAGAACTCTCTCATGTAATAGAGATAATCATATATGAGACCCATCATTATAAAAAATAATAAAAAAATAATACAGAAATCAATATTTATGTAGGAGAGAAAAATTATCTCCTATAACATAAGAATATATTTTCTCATATTTTTAATGATAGGCTCGCCATTAATTTCTTTTATGTACAAGTTGACCTGCACAAGTACACGTATCATCAAAGTAGTTCACTAGAGATGCAGCTACCTCTTTTCCTACTAAATTGAAACTACGTAGTTCCTTAAAAATTGTAACGTTTTAATGTTTTTATAGTAAATGTAAATAAATTATTTATATTTATTTTTAAAATAATGTTATTTTGGGTTAAAAAATTAAAAAATTATAATAAAAAAATTATTATAATCTTGAAATAAATTATAATTACAAAAATATCTTAATTTTCACTTTAAAATGACGTCGTTTTAGGTTTAACGTAAATAAATTATCAACATTGAAGGTAGAAAAAACGAACTCTAATTATAAATATTTAATTTGTGTACGAGTATGAATTGTGAATATTTTGAACTGATAAAAAAAAGTATTATACTTTTGTATCAAATAAAGAAATTAAGGTATAAAATATACAAATTTATAATATGACGAATTTCTATATTCAACAATATTCTAATGTTGAATGAATTATTTGCATGCTTTGAAGATTTATGGCTTGGGTCTTGTGCAGCAGGGCAGTGCAGGCCGCAGTGGATTGCTAGTTTTGGGGAATGTTGTGTACTTGGTTTTACTGCTTGGTCAAGCTAGCACTTTGTATGGTACATATACATAATTCAATTTGGATGGCTAATTATACAATTTTAGTTTACTTGTTCCTGGTTTGATATTTATAGTTAAATTGCAAATGAATCCAGATGTTGTGCAGTAACATGAGAAATGGAAGAGTTATATAATCAACATTCCGTTCATATGTATATGGACTAAAGGCTTTAGTCTTATGCCTGTCATTCTAGTATAAAGAATTGTGTAGGTAATCATCCATGCTGAATAATAGAGGTGGTAATAGTTAAATTCTTAACTACTCAGTTACAAATATAATATAATCCTATGCTAAAAAACTAACTCTCCTAACAATTTAAGCTGTTAAATAAAGTCACATAAGTATAACTTTATGTCTCTAAGTATACAAATGCATACCAGAAAGCATACAAATGCTCTTCAAAATTGGCTTGGTTTTCCTCTGTTTTGCAGGTCAAACCCGTGAAATGAACCCAGCTTTCGTTGTTGATTCTCGGATTCTTGTAGTTCACTCACTTTCTCTTCATCCATAATACTAAGATCCACGTGCTTAGCATCTAATGGACGATCCACTAAAATGGAGACCGATGGATCAAGACTAAAAGAAGGCGAAGTCTCTAGGGAAGTTTCAAGGGATGGGCGTTGTGTGTATGGATTCCTTAGCGCCATACTCTTCTTGGCCTTATCATGCCAAATCTTGATGCCTCTAATCACATTCTCCGTAAACACAGCTTTGTTCATGGTGCTACCCATCTGTTAAAAAATACATTTTTAGGTGACAAAAAATTGGAAGAAACTAATTAAGGGGGGGAAAGAAGAAGCAGACAACCTTAAACTATTTTTTTATCCAAAAAAAGAAAGTTGTAGTTATAGAATTTCAAAGAAACAAATAAATATATGATGCCATGGAAATGAAATGCACAATTACGTAGCTGCTACAGAGTTATTAGTTATGGTTTGATTGTGTACCTGAGTTACCAAAGCATAGAGAGGTAGTGTCACATAGCCACAAAGGAATTGTACTGAAACACCCATGGCAACCCTTATGATGATATTCTCAGTGGCTTGATGGAAGCATGATCTGATGCCGAATCTGATCTGTAGTTTGCAGAAAACAACATATGCTTTATTTGTTTCCTGACATTGGCTCAGTTGAGAAAAAAAAAAATTCTTAAAGAATTCTAAAGTAATTTTTCACCTATACTTAAGTTAAAATAATCCTAGATATTCTTATGGTATTTTCTTCTAATTTAGTTTTTGTTTTTGTTTTTTTTTTTAAACATACTCTAATTACTTATGTGAGGCGAATAAGCTCCTTTCGATATTCCCACAAACTTCGACCATTTGGGTCGGCTAGGGGTATAAATAGGTCGAGCGGTTTGTTAGGATCCCAAAACTTGGCTTGCTTTAAGCTTGACTTGCTTGATTTGTTTAATAAAAACAATGGGCTCAAGCTCAAGTCTAATTTAATTAGACTTCGATCATTTGGGTCGATTAGGGGTATAAATGGACTGAGCAGTTTGTCAGGAGCTCAAGGCTTCGCTTGCTTTAAGCTTGACTTGGCTGACTTGTTTAATAAACAGAAAGGGTTCAAGCTTTAAAAATAGCTTGTTTAGCAAACAAGCCCAAGTCTAATTTAATGAGACTTGGCTCGAAAGCCAATGAGCGAGACTGGTATATTATCATAATAAATAATATATTTTTATGTCACTGAATCATTAACCTTATTTTTTTACTATTGTCTATTGGCCTTCTCTCACGGTCACATTTTCTCAAACAAGCAAATGGGATCAATGTATCTTGAATTAGTTCCAAACTAGCACATGAATCAAATCTCTAATGGGATAATTGAATGTATTGAAAATATTATTTTTTTGTTCCACTTAGATAGCATGAAAGATGTAATTATATGTGTACTGAGTGTATTCTATGATTGTTTTTCTTTAACGGAGGAATACAGAATTTGATGCATTTATAGTTTCACATTTGGACATATGTAAGTTTGGAAAAAATACATTTTACAATTATAAATGAGTCAAGCCAAGTCTAAAAATTAGCTATTTATAGTTTCAACATTTGGACATATGTGAGTTTGGAAAAAAATACATTTTACAATTATAAATGAGTCAAGCCAAGCCTAAAATTTAGCTTGTACCAATCTAATGGGCCAAGTCAAGTCCAAAATATTTTTCATAAGCTTAGCTCGTGAAATGCCTCCAGCATATAATGTTTTCAAGGCTTAAATGAGCAAGGATTTGATCTAATTGAAATAAAAAGAGCTTACATTAGCATTAAAGTTGATAAATCATGTTCAAACCACTCTCACTGAAAATCTTGTGTTTTGTAGGGATTATTCATTGAAAAAGAGAACAACTCACAAGAGCAAGATGAAAGGCACTCTAAATCATCCGCGCCAGTAGCGTGGTTGTGGTGCTACCAGCGCCAGACCAAAAAAAAGTCCATGTTTCACCACGCTACTAGCGCGGATATCGCGCCAAGAGCGCTAGCACAACACGATCCACCACGCCACTAGTGCGGGCACCATGCTAACAGCACCAGAGCTTTAAGTTTATTCTGTTTCACCGCGCTTCTAGCGGAGATGTGGCGCCACCAGCACCACAAGCACGAGATTGTTTTTAAAAAGAAATCAAATTGTATCTTGAAAAGGATTCTACCCCAAGATTTGATAGAGATAAAGGCAGATTCAGAAGGAAGTCATAAAAGGGGGATAAAAACCCTTAGAAAAGCATCTTTGGCTCGAGAGTTTTCTAAGATCAAGAAATTGAGAAAGTTTTTGGAAATTTATGCTAGAGATCAACACTCAGAGAAATTGAAGATTGAAGACTTTCTTTCTTTCCTTATTTCTTCTCGATGAATTCTTTTTCTTTTTACCTCTTTATTGTGTTTAAGTCAGACATGTCTGGCTAATTTTCTTTTATAATTAGGATCGTGGATACGATGTGAACCCTTTATACTTTCTGAATTATTTTTATAATTATTTTAATTCATTTAATTTTATTTTAATTTGAATGAATTTTGCATATCCTTATCATATATGATCAATTTTATAAGATTTTGTGGGTTAGAATTCACAATAGGCATATTGAGGTTTTAATCCTGACAGGGATAAAATAACAATTTGTGCATGATCTAGACATAGGCTTGTTTGAGTTGTAGACTTTTTAATTCGTCGAACTTAATGCTTGATTCAAGAAGGATTACTAGGACACTAGGGTTCTAATTTGGTTAAAGGATTAAATACACTAAGGCATTAGGGTTTAACCAATTGATTTGAAGAAAATGAATTGTCTGAACTATTGAGTTAATTAATTATTAGAATTAATTCAGATTTATAAAGGAGGATCAAATGTGAAGTGCACTCTGGCTACAGTTCCTTATTACAGTTTCTTTATTCATATCTCTTCTTTGCGTTCTTGAATGTTCTTGATTTTTTAGTGCAATTAATTTCAATTACCTTCATTTTAATTCAAAATCTATTTTATAAACCAAATTGAATTTTTCAAATTAAGGGGACTAGTTATAATACTACTTGGTACTTTAATCCTCGTGGGACGATACTTTACTTACACTTTTATTACTTGAAATGATCGGGTATACTTGCTGAGATAGCAACAGCTCGACCCAACTCATTTACACCCCTAGGGCCGGCTATGGGACTAGTTCGGAGTGCGGGGCGTGCCAAGAATAAAGATTTTAAACCCCAACCAAATGTGACATGTGAGGATCGAACCGAGATCCTTTCCTTTCCAGAGCTCCCATGCACCAATTGAGTTACCACCATTTTGGTATTCTAATTTAGTTTTAAAACACTCATATATACCACCCCACTATTTTTATTTTTATTTTTTGGTAAATATACCACCCCCACTATTTAATAATTCATAAAAATAGCACAGACAATAAAACTCATAATACTCCCTTTTTAATTTTGTTCTCCCTCTCTCTCTTAATTTAGGTGATGCCATGCAGTTTGAAAAATTAGTAATCGTTAAATAAGTTAGTGGTAAAGACTAATCATTTTTCCAAGAGTCAATGTTAAATAACAATGCTAATTCATTGGGGGGGGGGGGGGGGGGGGGGACTTTTGATAAAAAGCTCTGGTCGTATAGTATTTTCATTTAACACATTCTCTCTCCACTCTTCTTATCAATTTATCTCCTAATAACACGTTTGCCTGTGTTTTTTGTTTAATTATTATTCTTCCAAGCGAGGAAAATGTGGAACTTACCCAAGTCCATGTGAAAAATGCAAGTTCAAAGGAATTCTGCATAATACAAGAAACTTTAATGAGTTTAAATGACAAGTTTTCCAAGGATAAGAATTGTATGGTTTCATTTTAGTTTTAAAGGTTAGCAGGACGAATTGAAGAATAACCTGAAACAATATGAAGCTCATGAGATAAAGCAGCAGCTTGGGCCATCCAAACCAGAAAAAGTGGTCACTGGGCCTCACAAGCAAAGTTCCTCTGACCACATGAGACTTGTCATGACTATCCAAGCACATTTTTGTTATTATGCCTTGTAGCTTTGTTCCCACCAACAAAAACACCTGCAGAACATAAAACGAAATATTAACTACTATTTCAATTGTATCAATGGCCAAAGTACTAAGTTTTTCTTACCATTAGAGGAATAAAAGGCAGCCACAAATGGCTGTGGAATCCTACAGTGGGTGGAAAATGAAATATAAGTTGTTACATAGCTTTTGTATACAATGCAATCTTCTTTTATCACAATTATATAGTTTAATATTATTTACCATTTGCATTGAACAATATGTAAAGTACAGAGAAGATCCAAATCCACCAACTGCAACAATATACCCACAAAAATAATTATTGATAAATTTTAGAACTAGCTAGAAAAAAAAACGACTGTAAATTGAAGTCATATGTACCTTGTTCCCACTACCAGTCCAAAATCTTCTTCCAGAGCTCGTTTTGTATATTTTTGAAAGTCAAAGTTGCTTCCTTCTGTAAAATGGGCCTAAAGAATAATAGTATAGCCACTAAAATGTGTCAACTAGATATTTCATGCTATAATAACAATATTATTAACAAAACAGTCATGATATGAACCCAAACTTTTTAAAAAAAAAATTGCATTAGTAGCATTACCATGATGAATCCATGTCTAAGAGTGAAGTAATCAACCTTGGAGACAGATTTATACAATTGTCTAACAAGGCATACCTGGACAAATTAAAAGGATAAAGATAAAAAATACAAATCAACAATGATAATGGAAGATAGACTAAATGACTAATTGCTAGCTAAATTAAGTTTCGAAACGGCAATAATTGAACTTACAGGCCAAAACAGTATTGGGTTATTGCTCCAATAATTAAGGTGCCGCTTCCCAAATGAAGTCTGACGAGTGAGCTGAAACCTTCGTGGATCTACATTTTAAAAAATTAAGGCAAGCAATAAAATCATGTCTCATGGCTTTTCTTATGTTAAAAGAATAATAAATATGTTTACCAAAAATAAAAAAAAATAATAAAGATGTTCTGAAAGTTGTATATAGAAGGGAATATTATTTCTCATTTTAACAATTTGTCTTATGTAACATACAAAAATTATTATTTTTTCTCTCTCTTTTTCTTAATAGATATATTATCCACTATTTTGTGTGTTGAACAAGATAAATTATTTTATATAATATGAAAAATAATATTCCCATTTAATAATGATGAAAATAAATATAGGGCTGAAGCCTATGCAAAATTAGTTAGACAAAATTATTAGGATTCACAGTAATTGCAGCTCTCAATAATGTTTTTATTTAATAAAAAACAATTAAATAAATTAAGATTCACAACTTTCTTAATAAGTCACACGAATGTTCAAATCAGATAACTTCAAGGGTATGACGTATTAACGTTGTTATGTTGGCTTTTTGACCCTTATGCCCCTTAAATAATAATTAATTACCAAATTGCCCCTCATTCAAAACTATTTCGAAAATTTACCCTCCCCAACAAACATAACACCAATCTGCCCCTGTTTGACCGTTGACCACGAAGCCTACCCGGGTACACCATTACCTACCCGGGTAAATTTTGAAACTTTTTATCTACCCGAGTATGTAGGGGTGTACCCGGGTAGAGTTCTTGAATCTGGGAAAATGTTTGAATTATTTACCCGGGTACAGAGCAGTGTACCCGGGTAAATCGCGTCCAGAAACCCCAATATGTATGGGTTTGCAAGGTAGCCAAGCTAAACCATTATGATTATGTGGATCATGTTTTCAAAATTCCAACCATTGCTAAAGTATATGCTGCACACTGGTTTCCTATTGGCAATGAATTGTTGATTCCATCCGTTGTTGGGCCTACTGTAATTCCGGATGCTCAGTTGGTACGTGCAAAAGGAAGACCAAAGTCTTCAAGGATTCAGAATGAGATGGATTGGGTTGAGTCTCAACCCTCTAGCAGTCAGAGCAGATGTAAGCATTGCAAGCAAGTTGGACATAACATTCGTACATGTCCATTGAGACTAAGACAAGCATGATTACGTATTGTTTTTGTGTAGTACTTTGTTTTGTAATGACAATCACTTTACGTATTGTTTTGTTTCCTTGTACCCTAAACTTTATCTTGTATTAGTTATGTATTGTGTTGTTGAAATGTATTGTTGAACTGTATTCTTGTGTTGTTGAAATGTATTGTTGAAATGTATCCGTTAAGTTTAGCGAGTCACTCGTTCCGTATTGTGCAATCCGAATGTCTACCATACCCATTTACCCCTTCCCCGAGTCAGTTAAGGTTATTGTATTACACATCAATTACCAAGATGCTAACAAAATGGATTGAACAGCACCTGCTGCTGCATCTGCAACTGGTCTACCCGGGTAACTCGTAATGATATACCCGAGTATGCATATGTAATGCCTCCAGTTCACCTGCTGACTGTGAAGGAGGGCCCACAGGATGACAAAGTCCCCTTCCAGCACCTTTGAGTGATTATGCGGGCGCTGGAAAATAATATGTGTCACCACATAATGAAGAATGCGAGCAGAAACTGACAAGTTGCTAACAGGATAATGAGCAAAATGACCGGGCTCAGCGTCTGCCCTCCTAGTCTCTGTAACAATGGTCTCCCGGTTATAATCACCAAATATATGATGGCTGTCTCCATCATATAGTGCTGCTCCTGAGACACCATCAAAATCGAACCCCAGTAGCTCGGTCCAGATAGGAGCAGTCATGATGATATCAATCCTGCATACACGGGAAGTCAGCTCGCCTTGCGAGTAGCCAAGGTTCTGGTAGAAGGCTCTTACCATAACCTCCGAGTATGGGCACCGCATCTCCGCCAGGTGAAGTAAATGTGTCTGCTCAAGAAGCGGCACGATGTCAAAACGCTCTAGGTTGAAGAATGCCGAATCCAGTGATTTCGGTTCGCAGATCTTCCGGGTCATGAAAAACTTCACGAACTTCTCGTGTGAAGGAATGTCATCCTCAAACAAATATCCGAACGTCAAGTCCGGAGCCTGACTCGAAGCAGCCTGGGGCTGAGAGGATGACGACCCATCGTGACGACTCTTGGTTCTTCTCTCGGAATGGGTCACTGGCAGCTTTGAAACGCGTCGAGAGGTCATTGTGTCACACTATTAAACTGAAAAAATAACCAAAATCAGAAATTAGATACATGTTAGGGTTAGGGTTAGGGTTAGGGTTAGGGTTAGGGTTAGATTCAGGGTTAGGGTAAGCGTATGACATACAAATTGATAAAATAATTCGGACAGAATCAAATGATATAAACGAAAACAATGAATCAGAACAGAAATCATAACATAATTGAAAAAACTGAAAAAAAAATGCACCTTTGATCGATTTCAATCGGTAGAAGGCAGAGAGGTTGCAAGGTCCGCGAATGATGATCACAAACAAGACGAATTAGTGCAAGATTATGCCTCAAATCGCTCAAGATGACACTCCTCCAGCAGCTCTACTCGGGTACCCCTTTTGTGGGTTTTCGAATGGGGCTGCTGGGGTATTTTAAAACCCTACCGTCGCGATTTACCCGGGTACACTTCTACGTACCCGGGTAAATAATTCATACATTTTCCCAGATTCAAGAACTCTACCCGGGTACATCCCTACATACTCGGGTAGATAAAAAGTTTCAAAATTTACCCGGGTAGATAATGGTGTACCCGGGTAGGCTTCGTGGTCAACGGTCAAACAGGGGCAGATTGGTGTTATGTTTGTTGGGGAGGGTAAATTTTCGAAATAGTTTTGAATGAGGGGCAATTTGGTAATTAATTATTAATTAAGGGGCATAAGGGTCAAAAAGCCTTGTTATGTTACATCATGTATTATGTCATGTATTTTAAGTTTATTCGACTAATCAATCATAATTAACAAAAGGGGCCCTACGTGGAACACTGCCGCAAATTAATGAGATAGAAGTCTTTATGACTTACCATAAGAAAACTGATATTCCGATGTTCTAGTTTGTGTTTCCCAAGATTCCCATCGCCTCATCTGTGTGCGTAGAAAGACAATCACAACCAAAGGCAAATTTGTCAACCACAAGTCCAACTTCCCCTTATGAATGTTGTTATCAGAGAACGTTACAAAGTTGGCACCCTTGTTCTTAAATTAAATGATGTAAAATATTCATAGCTTTAATTTCAAACTCTTGTTGGACTTTGAGAGAAATATTGGTTACCTTCGCCATTCCAAGACTAAAGGTAAGGATACATGAGATAACATGAGACACGGCCACATGAAAGATTAAGTATTGCAGCTCTCTGACACCTTGCCTGGACAACAATGATACTTTCCCCTGTGAACAGATGCAGTCAAAGATTTAGACTTAGCCATATGTAAGGCTATAGTAACATTCCCAAGTCTATATATAAAAGCAAAAAGTTGGTATCAATAAAAAGTCTTTAACCCCTTCAATTGTTGTCTCTTACTATATGCTTATGAGATGCATATATATATATATATGTATATATACAAGCATGTTCTAACTTGAGTGCCTTTCTAATGGAATTTGACAAACTTATTGAACCAAAAGCTTGCATTCTAACTTAAGTAGCAAACTCCAATTTCAACCTCCGAGATTACATTGATAATGTTAGAGAATAATATAAACCAATAAAAATACCATTACTCAACTGTTTAAAGGTATATATGTATTTGCATACCTTCTCTGCACATTTGGTTTCCTCCTCAGCATCGTTAAAAGTCATGCTTGTGCAGGGAAGAAGAGTTTCACCAACACCCTTTGGAATACAGATATTTGCAATTGGTTTTTCGCTTACAGTTAGCAACAGTGATGTGAAACCCAGAAGCATCAATTCTACACAGAAAATAGGAAAATAATAAAAATATCACTTTAGTTTGTCTCAAAACACGCATAAGCAGGGAAAACAAAAACCAATTCGATCCCTCTAAGATTCATGCTGTAAGGAAAGCTGACCTGATTTGATCTTTTCAAGAGCCCGAATGAGGGACTTCTTCCTTTCCTTTTTGAAATACTGAAGAAAATTAAAGAATTAGATATATACCCTTTATTAATTACTTGGTATAGGTGAAGGAAGAAGCATGAATTCATGATCCTAGTGTGTGGCTGAACTATTTTGATATGCCTTGTGCCTGAAGGAAAGGTTGAGATCTGCAAGCAACAATATCTATATATATACCTCGGCCAAAAGATGAAGCAAATGCTCAATAAGAATGGAGATTACTATCAATATGAAGCAAACTGTTGCCACAGCCCATGTTGGAGTGATTTCTAGAGTTATCTCTGAAACATTGGCCATTTTCTCCCCGAGAACTAACTATCATGTGTGTCATTCTGGTATGAGTTGTGCGTGTACTATATAGTCAAAAATATATGGGAACAGCACGTGTAGGAAATTTCTTGTTATCAATGCATGCAGATTAACGAGTCAAATTGCTTAGCTAATTAAGCAGTCAAATCACCTAGCCAATGCCAAGTTGTTGCGCCAGGTCTTGCGTCCTTTATATTGTCCCTTGTACGGAGCCACTACACCAAAAACTTATTTAATAGACTAACCAAATTAATGGACACATATTCAAACGAATTAAAATTGGGGAACAGTACTAAATGGATACGTAATCAACCTTCGGGAATAGGTTAACTTTATTACTTTTCAACACCCTTCTTTTTCAGGATCGCTATTCACCAGAGACAAGTACGGAAACTTGCACACCAAGCTGGGAAAGTTCTTCCTTTTCATACTGTCCATGATGAACATTATTCCTATTCCTAGTCATAGCACGATATTTTCGGGATGAGATTACTTTAAAATGTTGATATATATGCTTTTTTTTTTTTTTTGGTGAAAGATATTGGCTCGTATGCAGTACTTACATCACAAATTTAATGTGTCAAATTGTTTTAAGAATTTCCCCTTGTTTTCTTGTTAGAGATATTAAAATAAAATAAATTTAAACTAGAAAACCACAAATTCTCTCATACACACACATATACATATTAGTCCAAAATCTAAAGTTCAAGTTTGATCTAAATCTTGTAATGATAGCATGACTTTAAGGACACTCTCCTCCTCACTAACAAATTAAAATGATTTTTTTCAAAGGAATCCTTTCACAGCTATACCAGCTCCCCAACATCAATTTCTCTGTTTATCTTTAAATAATCGTCATCTAGGAGAAGAAACCAACGAACGAGAATAAGAAGAAACTCCATCACAATGCTATGTTCTGTATTTTGAGAATTCTTCTTTAGCTTACTTGGTTGGACCTGGTCATATTATTTATTGCACTTCTACACTTGAAATTTCACACTTGAACTAAACCATTATACGTTAATAATTAACATTTATCGATTGGTTAGTGGATTAATATCTTGTTTTTCTAAGCAAAAAGACATATGATTTGTTAACTAATTCATACACTTTGTTAACCAATAATCTACATGTACAGCGTTAACTGATACATTTAACATAACAAGTATGGAATCTTAGGTGTACGAATAACTAAGTCTATTATTATTATAATTATTATTTTCAGAGAACCTTGGCATCGGAAGCCACATTGAGCGTCAAATCTCAGTTAAGTCAATTAGATATAGGTCAACACTCTGTTAGAGCATGTTATTTCTATGTCTAAGGAAAATCCAACTCATGGGCGTTCGTACAGTACTTTATCAATTGTTTATTTAAAGAACCTATTAACATTTTAATTTTAGATAACTTTGAAAAGTTCTAATAAATTCTTTTTAAATATCTTAACGTAAATTCTATTTTTGTCTCAATTAATTCCGAATTTTCTCCGATCAATGTCAACATTCTTTATCTTTCTAAAAATAAAGAAATATTGTTTTTAAATTTCTCATTTAAAATTGTCTAATTTCATATATATATTTGCATACTGCATGCCATGTGTAATCAGATTATATTCCATACATGACTAACGACCATACTTTATTATTATTTTTATTATGGTTATTGTCGTCGTTTTCTTGGTCTTACTAATCTGGAATTCTTATGTTGCAATGTTTCATAATTTTATCTTTTCATTCTTAGGACCAAAGGTAAAATAATGCTTTATATTCAATACCGACACTTAGCTTATGATGACATGAGATCAAGTGCAGCGAGTCCAAATAACCTGTTAGGGTGAATGAAATGTCTTGTAGACTCGTCTTTTCACGTATTCTTTTAACTTCGTGATTTTTTCTTTGGTTGCTTTACGGTCTTTGTCACTCAGGCCCTTTGACGAAACATCTCTTACTATGTCTATGGAATCAGTAAATATCTTTCTTAAAGGTTTCCATATTATTTTCCTTTGCAACTTATTATTTTACTTCAGCATTTCGTGTGTATATAGAGATTATTTAACATTAAAAAAAAAAACTACATAGGCACGACTTCCGAGCTAATCTCATTATTGCAGTTATGTATTTCGTGACATCTATAGTTTATAGCAGAATCTGCCGCACAACTACCACCATTCTGGCAAAAAACTTAGTAATCGTGTTCCATAAATGACGCAGAAAGTGGATAAAGATGCATAGAGTTACCTTAATAGTGTCACTCGAGTATGCATCTCTTACGGATCAGTGAGTATGCATAAAAGATTAATACACAAGCACTTTAATGTGGTCAAAGCCAATTTTAGATAAAAGTACACAAATATGGGGAATGATAACAATTTTCCTCCTTCCTGAAATCCAAAGCTATTATAGCAAAGCACATAAACAGAGTAACTACGGACACATTCTTCAGCAATCTTCATGCAAGTGTAATATAGCTATCACACATGATTCGCATGTCAATACTGCAATACACCCTGCAAACAAAGAGAACAATTATCCAAAATCAGAGGGATGCATGAGATGACAACAACATAATGCACTGCATGTCTAGGAAAGGATATACATATATATATATCTTACTTTGGTGCAGTTACTTCCAACCACGGCCTTACTCCTGAGTGAATGGCCGGGGTGGAACTCATCTTCAACAATTCTATTAAAGGAAGGTCCAGAATTCAACTGACAAGTGATCATCGTAGAGGCATCAGCTTCTTTATTTGCAATGCGCGTGTCCTCAGTTAATGAAAAACCAAAGAGTCTGCAGCTACTTTTACATGAGGAAACCAACTCTTGACTGCCTCTAAGTGCTGACACTGAATCATGCGACCGTGAACTACTTAACTGATTATGAAAATTTAACATACCAAAAGAATTTGTGCCTTCCTGAGCTAGCCTAGAGAAAATAGGCTCATCAGATTGGGAAGAAGATGCAAATATTCCACCTTTTACTTCAGATGCATATGAACCTTGGTAATGCACTTTGCCCTCCATCTCCTGATTACTTTTATTGTTATAATCACAGTTTGAAACTGGATTAACTGCTTGCTGGAACATTAACACAGAAGATGGAGATGACACTTGCCTAGATGGAACAGATGCATGCAGATGTGAAGGGTTGTCGCGCATCTGGCCACACCATCCATTTCTGGAGCTATGCAGTTGATAACCATCAAAAAGTCCAAGGCGACCATTTCCACGAGACTCATCAATAGACGACAAGGCTCTTCCATATGGTTGGCTTGGAAGAATTTCTTGACCTTGCAAGACCTTGTGGAATCGGAATGATTCACTAAAGCCAATGCCAATGCCATTGCAGGAAAAATCAGAACTCATATGAGGGATTCTGATATTATTTCCTGTTGCAGCAATCCCAGAACAGTTAGAACCAGGATAGCACCTCCCTGACTCATATAACCGGGGAGTCTGAGCATTAATACCATCAAAGGGAGTATTAACACCCAAAATTTCTTGACCTTGCAAGACCTTCCGGAACCTTAATGATTCCCCAAAGTCTGATGTTCCAGTCCCATCTGTCAGAAGTTAGAAAAGATCATTATTTTTGCACAAGATGGCTCAAAAATAAAAGCTATAAAAAACAAAAACAAAAATATCCGTGACTAACTGGCAACTGGAAATTCTAGCTTTGCTGAAGTCAATCCAATCCTTGTTCTCTTCAAACCGGCTGGCATCAAGTTACTGGAAGTGGAAGCAGAACCAGAAGGCTCAATTTCCCATGGGGAAACCCTATTATGCCTAGGGGTTTCTATGTCATCCCACCTTACCTGTAAAGATGAGAAAGAACATCAGATCACAAGTTCATAATTACATTAGGGTGACGACGAATAGGAACCACTGCATTTAGTATAAATAAATACAATCAATCTTTAGAAGTTTGACAAGTATGAGTTGACGTACAAAAGTAAGTTACACAATTTAGTAGAAATAACAATCTTAAGACGGATGACAAGCATTGACCTGCAATCTAGTAGCATGCAAAGTAGGATTCTGAATTACTTAAAAGAGGAGTTATGTCACTAGCAGCTGGCACAAAAGGAGTATAGCAATGATCCTTCCACAGTACTAATTAGTTTTGAAAAACCAGTCAAACTTAGGCTGAAACAGATTCTTATAAAATTTGTAGCTTCAACCAGTTCACATCAGAAGCCAGTTTTTCTGTATTCTACTATTAAGTAAGAAAAACACCATCTAGAAGTTCATATTCGGGTCAAATTAACAATCATATCAATCATGTCCATGAAATTCTAGCTTCAACCAGTTCACATCAGAAGCCAGTTTTTCTGTATTCTACTATTAAGTAGGAAAAACACCATCTAGAAGTTCATATTCGCATCAAATTAACAATCATAACAATCATGTCCATGAAATTCAACATACCATAAATCATCGCAGTAAAAAGTAATATAAAGTGAGCTATGATTTTGAATTCAAAATGATAATTGTGAAACTGACAGCCTAACTTACAGGCTGCCCAACAAAAGATGGGGGAAGCATTTTCTTCCCCCATTTTGTATACATTTTCTTCCTAAATAAATCTACGATATACATTTTCTTCCTCTACTAGTTTTCTCTGGTTTGAGACAAGGGTATTCTGATATATATTAGAATTGTAAATAATCTGTACAAGGGATTCTCTATTTATAGAGAATATGTGACATACTTTTAACCTAAAGGCCTTGGCCCAATACAACAAAGGGCTTGGCCCAATACAACAATAAACTAAATAATAATTAAATCAATATTATTTACAACACTCCCCCTCAAGTTGAGGAATAGATATTTATCATTCCCAGCTTGCTAGTAAGTTCTTGAAATCTGTCTGTAGGAAGCCCCTTTGTTAATAGAGCTAATTGACGCCCAGTGGGAATGTATGGAGTGGTAATTAACCCGCTATCAAGTTTCTCTTTGATGAAATGGCGGTCGACCTCAATATGTTTAGTCCGATCATGTTGAACTGGATTATGAGCTATACAAATAGCGGACTTATTATCACATAGCAGCTTCATAGGTCCCTCACATTTTATTTTGAGATCATCAAGTACAATTTTCAGCCACAGTAACTCACAAATGCCTTGAGCCATAGCTCGAAATTCAGCTTCTGCACTTGATCTGGCAACCACATCTTGTTTCTTACTTCTCCATGTCACCAAGTTACCGCAAAGAAACATGCAATAACCAGTGGTAGAACGACGGTCAGTCATGGATCCAGCATAATCAGCATCTGTGTAGACTTCTAAAGATAGATTGCCATCACGTCGGAATAACAATCCTTTACCAGGAGTACCTTTAAGATACTGAAGAATTCTCTCTACAGCCTGCATGTGTTTTTCCTTTGGATTGTGCATAAACTGACTGACAACACTAACAGCATAAGCTAGGTCTGGTCTAGTATGGGCCAGATATATCAATTTCCCAACTAGCCGTTGATATTGTCCTTTATCAACTGGAGGACTCTCTTCTTCATAGCCCATCTTGTGATTCTGCTCAATAGGAGTATTAGAGGGTTTACACCCGAGCTTTCCTGCTTCTTTGAGAAGATCAAGAACATATTTCCTTTGGCTGATAAAAATTCCTTTGCTTGAATGAGCTACTTCTATCCCTAGGAAATATCTCAGTTTTCCAAGGTCTTTGACTTCGAACTCAGAGGCAAGCCGTGTCTGCAGAATCTGTCTCTCCACAAAATCATTACCTGTGATAATAATATCATCAACATATACAAGGAGCACAGTAAGCTTCCCGTTTTGGGAGTGCTTGAAGAAAAGAGTGTGATCTCCTTGACTCTGTCTATATCCTAAGGTCATCATAACCTTAGTAAACCTCCCAAACCAAGCACGAGGTGATTGCTTCAATCCATACAAGGCCTTTTTTAATCGACAAACTTTATTTTCCCCCTTCACAGAATCAAAACCAGGCGGGATTTCCATGTAGACTTCTTCTTCTAACTCACCATTGAGGAAAGCATTTTTCACATCAAATTGATTTATATCCCAATTGTAATGGGCAGCAAGGGACAACAAGATTCTCACTGTATTCATTTTTGCAACTGGGGCAAAGGTTTCTTCATAATCAATGCCATAGGTTTGAGTGTAACCTTTGGCGACTAATCGAGCCTTGTATCTCTCAAGAGTGCCATCAGAATTATATTTTAGGGTATAAACCCATCTGCACCCTACTGCTTTCTTTCCGTTGGGTCTATCAATAACCTCCCATGTTTTATTTTTCTCTAATGCATTCATCTCCTCTTGCATGGCTTGAGCCCAATTCCCATCTCTCAAAGCTTCATGTACTGATTTTGGGATTGAAGTAGAATCTAGTGCTGAAACAAAGCTTTTGTGCTGCACAGAAAGATTAGCAGAGGAAACAAAATGGGAGATAGGGTATTGAGTACAAGAGGGACAGGAAGAACAAGATTTCTTGGGACAAGATCTTTTTCCTTTTCTTAAAGCAATGGGTAAATCATCAGAAGCAGTAGTAATGGGTAAGTCATCAGAAGTATCATGATCAGAAATATGAGATTCAGGACTTACCAATGGTTCAGACGATTGAGGTTGCTGTTGAGGCAATGTGGGCTGTTTCCTTCTTTGATATACCAATTCAGGTGTTACAATCTGCCGTATCTCTTGTGTACTTGATGTATCAGTCATCGGAGGATCAGTCACAGACACATTAGGAACAGGAACAAGAGGAAGAGACACTGACACAGGTGAAGGAGTAGACACTGAAGTTTCAAAAAAGGAAGGTGATGAGACTTCTGGTGAATCATTCTCCCCCTGAAGATGAGGACCTTGGAAAAACGACTCAGATTCCTGAAATGTAACATCCATAGAAACAAAAAATTTCCGACTTCCAGGGTGATAACACTTGTAGCCCTTCTTATCAGGAGCATATCCAAGGAAGACACATTTAAGAGCCCTAGGATCCAACTTACTGCGATGCTGTTTATGAATATGAACAAAGACAACACATCCAAACACTCGAGGAGGAAGACTTTGCAAAGTTGGAATAGAAGAAAAAAAGGAAGTCATGGAATGAATAGGACTTACATGATCGAGAACCCGAGTGGGTAGACGATTGATCAAGAATGCTGCAGTAAGAATGGCATCTCCCCAATAGCATTTGGGTACATGTGTTTGAAACAATAAGGCACGAGCAACTTCAAGAAGGTGACGATTTTTCCTTTCAGCAACCCCATTTTGTTGAGGGGTGTCTACACATGTAAGTTCATGAATCATACCTTGATTTTGTATAAATTGGGAAAAAGAGTGATTGACATATTCAGTACCATTATCTGTCCTTATTCTTTTGATTTTTTTACAAAATTGAGTCTCAATCATTTTATAAAATTGAAAGAACAGTTTTGGTACCTCAGACTTTTCATGCATTAAGTAAACCCAAGTTACACGAGTGCAATCATCAATAAAAGAAACAAACCATTTATTTCCAGAAGAATGAGGGACCTTAGAAGGACCCCAAACATCAGAATGAATAAGATCAAAAGGTTCAACACTTTTAATAATACTAGAAGGGAAAGACACACGATGATGCTTAGCAAACTCACAAACATCACAATGATAAGACTCAACAGACTTAGACAAAAACAAAGACGGAAATAAAGACTTGAGTAAACTAAATGGAGGATGTCCCAAGCGCTTATGATGAAGCCAAATCAGAGAATCAGCAGTTGACTGGCCATGTGACAGTAAGATGTGATCCTTAACATGAGTTGCAGGAGATTGTGACACCAGATAATACAGCCCACCTTGCTCTTTAGCACCCCCAATCGTCTTCCCTGTGGCGAGATCCTGAAAAACACAGTGAGTAGGAAAGAAGGTTACAGTGCAATTTAAATCTTTTGTAATTTTATGAATAGAAAGAAGATTAGTAGAGAGTTTAGGGACATGAAGAGCATCTTTGAGATGTAAGGAAGGCTGTAATTTTATGTTACCAGAACCCGCAACTGATGTATGGGAGCCATCAGCTACGGCTATCGTATGAGTGCCAATGGTAGGGTTATAAGAGACAAAGGGGTCAGCACAACAAGCCATATGATCAGTGGCACCAGAATCAACAACCCAAGAATGTTTAAAATCAATACATGAAGTAAGAAAAGAAGAAATTTTGGAGCTCATACCAGTCATAGCCAAATCACTAGTACCAGATGGCTTACTCAGAGAATCAAGTATGGTTCGAAGTCGTTCCAACTCATCTGGACGAAATGCAGGTTGGGTCTCATTAGGTGTAGGAGCTATATCAGAAGAAGTAAAATGCGCTTGACCACGCATCCTTGCCATCTTTTCTAAGACAGTTTGTTTTCCATGGAGGCGATAGCATAGATCCTTGATATGACCTGTTCTTTTACAATAAGAACACCAGCGATCATCTTTCTTAGGTCTAGAAGATGCTCCATCAGAATATTTTGGAAAGGAACTCCTGTAAGTAGAACCATCTTTTTTTGTTGAAATCATAGCAGACCCATCAGTGGGTTTAGAAGCAGCACCATCTTTTGATGATAACATGACAGATTTATCAGGGTTCATCATAACACCCCGACGATTCTCCTCTCCCCGAACAGTATTGAAAACAGCAGAAAGGGATGGAAAAGTTTCTTTGCCAAGTATCTGAACCCGAATAGGATCATACTCGGAATTCAAACCAGCAAGAAAATCAAAAATACGCACATTTTCTACCTCCTTGGCTAAAGCAGTAGCATCTGCAGTACATTTCATCTTCAAACTCTGAAATTGATCAAGTTCAGTCCATAACTCCTTCAAGGTGCCATAGTACTCAGTCACGGATAAAGAATCTTGTTTTGTTGTGAATATTTTATTGCGCAATTCATAGCGCGCAGCCATATCCTGTTTCAAGGAATAAGTGGAGCGGACAGTTTCCCAAATCTCCATAGCAGAAGACAAGAACATACAATGACGACCCACTTCAGGAGTCATTGAATTCCACAACCAAGTCATGATAAGAGAATCCTCATTATCCCAAACATCAAAATCGGGATCCGTGGCAGCAGGAGCAGGGCCATCAAGATGAGCAATCTTATTGCGACTCTTGATGGTAGTACGAATGAACTGAGACCATGACAAATAATTTGATCCGTCAAATCGATAACTCTGATGTAGATTTGGAAGATCATTGTGACCAAGAGGGGTCACCATAGATGAGGTAGAATTTTTTTCAGATAAGTTTAGAGTTGAATCACCGTCGGAAGCGGCCATACTGCAAAACAACTCAAGGAATAGTACCAAGAAGCCAAAAAATCACGAAAAATTACCAAACGAGGTCCGATCAAAGAGGTGAGCACAGATCCAGAACGAGCTTGGAGAGTCGGTCAAGACTGCACCGGTCCGCAGACAAAAGCAACCGTCACGCGCTGTCACGCGCCGGTGAAGCTGGCGGCGCGTGAGATTCACGCGCAGGGAAAGAAGCGGCGCGTGGAGGCGCCTCTGACGTCCGATCGGGCTGGGCTTTTCAGGCGAAGGTCGTCCAAGGATTGCGAACCTATCTGGGGCTGATCGGAGTTGAATGGCCGCCAAAAAGAAGGTCAATCGCGATGAACAGTGTTCTTGGTTAGTGAAAAACGCTTCTGTTTGGAGGTGACGTTGAACGGTTCAGTTTGGGGTCTTGTTATTGAGGAAGATGGGAGAAAAACAAAGAGAAGCAGTGATCTCTCGGTCCAAGAGGTCCCCGGAAAATTTTTCCGGTGGCGGCTGATGGCAGCGAGGGTTTCGTAGGCGCGGAAGCAGAGCCCTCAAGATCGAGAGCTCTGATACCAACTTGAAAAAGGGTATTCTGATATATATTAGAATTGTAAATAATGTGTACAAGGGATTCTCTATTTATAGAGAATATGTGACATACTTTTAACCTAAAGGCCTTGGCCCAATACAACAAAGGGCTTGGCCCAATACAACAAAGGGCTTGGCCCAATACAACAATAAACTAAATAATAATTAAATCAATATTATTTACAACACATTTTCTTCCTCTACTAGTTTTCTCTGGTTTGAGACAAGCATGCTCAGAGGCAGATACATGGAAGTTCTTACATCCTTTAGAATTGACACGCCCAATTCAATCATGAAATTATTTTTCACTGAATTATTGAAGTAGAAGTCAAATTTAGAAACGGAAGGAAAACCAAACAAGGAAGTAGACGTGTAATATCTATTAAAAAAAGAGATAGAATCATACAAAAGACAAATGGACTGTCCTTTTATTTGTTTACAGAAAAATAAAATAAGGTCAGGAAATTGTGCGAAAAAAGTTGACATTCATTGGTTATAATGATGAAAAAGCCGAACTTCAAAGTACTATCCCTTCTAATTTTCCCCTTTTAAATTCGAAGGCAGTGTGAAACACTGTAGTAAGTAGAAACGTGGAACTATTACATTGTCCAGAAAACCAGTAACTGCAAAACCCAAGATGATTATGAAGGCTGTGTCTTTCACAATGAGCCAACAACTCATCATAAACATTTAAATATCAAGCCTTACAGATTGGAACACACAGACAGCCATCGCCGTATGACAATCTCAATAAAAAAATAATATCAATACTATAGAAAGTTAGAAAGACCACAATGACATACAAGTAGGCATCTCCATTTAGATCGCGGCCATCTAACAGGATCCGCATCATTAATTCCAGCGATTAATCCAGTGAATCTGCCCAAAAGAAGTTTTGACAAAGATCAGTCATAAATATTTTATTGGTTATACATATGCAGCATGAACAAGTAAGACAATTGGCAAACCTCCCCTCCGCAGCATCTTCAGTTTCAAAACGCATCCTGAACCTCATTCCAACTGAGTAAGAACAATCAAGGCTCTTTAAGAATTTGTGAACAGGTATGATGAATTCTGAAGAATTGACCCTACAAAGAAACAATGAAATCATAGAATACCAAGATCAGCAGGAAAGAAAGCAAAATGGAAAAAAACCAAACCAGTAATATTAAAAAAATGACATTCATATACAGGAGAGCTTCCAGATAAAAACACCTTGAATGCTTGGAATTGGTGAAATATTAGTGACTTTTCTTTTTGTCTGACTATATTCTTATTAAACATACAAAGTATGCAGAGCAAGTGGACATTTGATATAGGTTATATTAAAAAGCATTCAATAATTAAACGGGAAATTGTCCATTAGGTACTATATAATAAAACATCCTTCTGAATCCCCATCTTATACAAACATAAAAAACTCCAAAATTGTACATAGAAACATCCTTATAAGGAAAGTACAAGCGAATAATGAGAAAAATACCTTGGATTATAGAAAACACTAAACGCACATCTTGTAGATAAAGCATTAACAATATCCATGATGGCGCCATGATTCAGTTGCTGACCAGAGGGAGATGCAAAGGCACCAGAACTTTTTAATTGAGCTGCCCGACGAATCCCTAATCTCAGTTCTCCATCCTCACCCCTGATTTAAATTACTAAATGTTAGTCCTAGTTAGTTATGAATACTAGCTCATAGAAGAGAGAATTTTGGTCATGGTACCTAAGAAACAACACAGCATCTCCAGACACAAGCTTCTTCTTGTTCACAAACGCACTCCACCCAGTTGTGAGCAAATGCCTCCGCGGCTGCCCTGCACAAGGGAAGACAGGAAATAAAACCCTCAAACATTCAACTTGCAATGTACTAGAATGTCAACTAATACATACCCCTGTAAATATGGCGAAACCTCCATTCCAAACCATGCAGATCCTTTGCCACAAGCTCTTGTGAAGGTCTTTGTTGACTGTAATCCTACAGTAACAGTGGACATTAAATTCAAAATGCAACCAAAGAAATATCCGAGCATAATTCCAGGAATTTTATAATCATGACAGAAAGCAAATCTTGAAATCATGTAAGGTTGACCACATTTCAAAACATTTATCAAATCGGAATTGAATGTAGCATATCAGAATAAGGAATAAATCAAATAAAAACAGTCAGTGAAGTGAAACACTTGAACAGGTTCACTTTAACAAGAGAAAGGAACGCATCATAATTCATAATTACCAAGGCAGGAAAGCAATCTTCAGCAGCTCGACGAGGGACTGAGAATCCACCATGAGTGCTAGTGTCAGAAGCTGTCAAAGTCTTGCAGAACATATGGGGTGTGGTTGACTTCACAGCTTCAGTATCCTCCTCTTCCCCATCAGCATCAACTTCCCCATCCCGCAAGTTTTGCTCCACTTGCTACAATCAACAACCAAGTTCAACCAAAACTACAATTAAAATCAGTTAATAAAATAAAGGGACTCCATTTAATACGCCTCTTTCCTTTCTCTTTCACTCCTACAATTATAAAGTAAGGGATTGTTGTTGAGTCAATTTTTTACTTGAGATTTAGGCATCGAGGAGTATAATATTCAGAAGTTGAGTTAACTTTCTATCGCTTCCAAGCCCAAACTGAAACAAAGTAAGATCATATCATAAATAAGCCTCACCTCACTTTGAGGGACCAACAAGACTTGGCAATACACTTCATCGCTCCCTTCCTCTGCCTGCCCAGAAAAGGAACAAGCATTTCATGTAAAACTCAAAACAAACCAACCCATAGTTCCCTTTGCACATGACTCATCCAAAAGAACCAGAAACAAGGAGAAGGAAAAAAGGGTATTTTCTAGACTGAACAAAAAGCACATTACGGTAAATACATACATATAACAAACAATGGTCATTCAGAAATTGTGAAACTTGACAAGGAATCTGTTTCTCAGCAAGCAGAGAGAACAAAAGCCAGCCCAGATACGAAATAAAATTTTGAGGAAAAGAAAAAGAGAAATTCCTGAGCCGACCAAATTGCAGACAGCATTGTTTTTTGTTTTGTGCGATGAAAGGAACAAAAGACTTACATGGAGCTTGACATCAAGGACGCGACAGAACACATGGGGTGGGATATTGTAGGCAGTGACCGGAAAATCCTGAGCCTGTTCAAAGTGTCCCTGTGGAAAGTACACAACAACGCTTCCTTTTTTCGGCAGAGAGATCAGAGGGCCTGCACACGCGTGCCATAGTTCCAAGCACACAGGAGGAGGAGGAGTAGGAGGAGGAACCAAAGCTGAAGCAGAAGTGCTTATTACCGAGTGACAGGAAGAGGAGAAAGAAGAACCTGACGATGGAGTTTCATCGTCCTCTGTAGTGTTGAGATCGATCAACCCCATAGGAACAAAGTGCTGCTAGCAATGTTAGCAAATCTAGCAAGTGTGTGTGAAGAAGAAGCACTTTGGAAGAGGAGGAAGATGAAGATTTCAACGAGTGATTTCATGCCTGCATTTTCAGAGAGAGTGAGGTGTAGTTGAGCAACTTCGGCATTACTAAAAGAGGCTGTGTGACCCAATACTCCAAAAAGAAAGAGACCCTCTTTCTGTGTGTGTCCCCTCTCTCTCTCTCTCTCTCTCTCTTCCACCCACTTAGCTATCACACACTGCTAATTTTTTTCTCTTGTTTTCTTTTTTGGGGTTCTTTTCTTTTACTTTATACTTGGCTCAACTGTGAAAGGGAAGGAAGAGTGAGTGAATGGGTATTTTGGGGTAGCATCAAATCAAGCTTTCATTTAGATTTAAGTTGGACTCTTATAAAAATAGGATTTTTATCCTCTTTTATTTTCTCATTTATTTTTCCCTTTTTTTTTATTTTACCCTAAGGGCCCTTTTGCTCGTCTGTGAGCTGAAACAGCAGCAGCAGCAGTTGCTGCGATGCTGAGACTGTTTGGTGTGGTGTGATGTGTGTCAGAGAGAGAGAGAGAGAAAATGAGGAGAGAGAATAGAGTTACAATCTACAAGAACAAAGACTATGTAGTTGTAGTTGTTGTAGTGGTAGTGCCTCCACCCTTTGTGATATTACTTGTTGGTTAAAGACCAATAAAAATGTCGAATAAAATGCTATTTAAGACTGTACGGTATCCCTGTATTTCCGGGCGGATGTCTATTCTGTCCCCATCTACTCCATCAAATCTCACACCTATCCCTCTCTGCTTAATGCCTTTCCCTTAAATTTTGTTGATAAATTTTAAAATTAAATAAAGGTCTTTGCTTAAGTCATTAAATTTGGTTTAGTGAGCAGGGATTTGAATAGTTTATATTAAATTATATATTTAATTTTATTTACATATATATAAATAAAAAAAATCTCACTTCCAATATGGCTTCAGCGGAGGGGTTTTTTTTTTGTTGACCATGCCATATGCCATATGCCATATGCCATTGATTGTGTACACAGATTATCCAACCATTTTAGTATACTGTTCTGGTACGGATTTAAGAGGCCAAAAAATACTTGTACAACCCTATTTTTTGCATTATGGTACGGAGGGAGTTTACTTACCCCAAATTGAAAAAGTAGTCTATGATGATAGTCAACAGTGAGCTATCATTGGTGTAGAGAGTATTTTGCTTAATTCCATGTTACGGTTCGAATTTCAGATTAGTCTCGTGAGTTTGTTTAAAGAGTCGAATCCATTGAGATATTTGAGAAATCTGATTTGTTCTAAAAAATATATTAGGACGGGTTATAAAAAAAAAAAAATTATCTTTTCTCAGGATTTTTATTTTTATTTTTAATTTTTTGGAATCAAAATCCTATTGAGATCCTGAATCGTAGAGGCACCTTATTACCACTCATATTTGGCAGGCTTTGGTGGTTAATGTTGACAATTAACCAAATAACAGAGACAAGTGAAAGACAAATGGGTTTTGATGGAGATAGTTGCACAATGTTTTTAAGCATTCATCTTTTCGCTTTAGAAACGGCCAATTACTTTGCCTACCCATGTTTTGACTTTGCTATTAGGGTCCTATCATCATTATTAGCTGTTTTCTTAGACAAAAAGTAATGACAATTTCATATCAGTCTTGGCTAACCAATTATGCAACTGGTAAATTAATGAAAAAGCTTTACACTTTTTAGCCTACACCTTTAAGTCTTGAGGCCACCCTCTGCGAATTTGGAGCTGTTCGTTCTTTTAAATATGACACGTTACTTTAATCATGAATGTTTGGGGTTGCACCTCGCTTATGCCTCCCTTTTTTTTTTTTTTTTTTGATAACAATGCCTCCCTTTTTTAACTAAGCTACCTGTAAAGAAAACGTAGCAGAATTTCTTATCTTATATTTATTAACTCGGACTTTTCTTTTTTTTTTAAAAACAACAATAAGAATATATTACTTCAATGTTATTAATCAAACAATGAATGATATGCATGAATTCTCAGATGTTCGTACACATATTTGTTGTAGGATAAATTAATATTTTTTAGATAAATCTCGCACAACTTATTATGACGATCTTGTTATTAGAATATGGTTAGTTTTTTATTTGAACAAAAAATGCATTGGACCACTTCTATTGACTGAAGGGTGAGACTAATCCTCTTTTAAGAGGGAGACGATTTTTCTCTGCCCCAAAACATTTCAAAAATTTATTTTTGCTAAGATTTGAACCCTTGACCAAAGTAAAGATAATTTATCGTATCATTTCTTTATTACTGTTTGGTGTGTTCATCGGATAAGATAAAATTATCAGGTTGACTAATGTTATCCTACGAGAGCCTAATAACTTATCCCTTGGGAAGCTTGGGTTAGAACATGGTAAGATAGGATAACAAAATATTTCTCAACTAAACTCTTGCAATGTCACAAATTCCTTCTTATTCGCCATTGATGGTTTCTCCATATGCCCAAATCAAAGTTACCCTTGCCATTTCCTCATTCTCTACTCCAAACCGATTGATGGTGGCTATGCACTTTCATCATTGCCCTCGAAATAACCCTAACCCTAAACTCTTATACTGAAACAATCATTGCATACTTAGATTTCTCATTTTAATATACCATAGCATGAGCTCACTCGCCGAAACTCCAAAACTAGGGCAGGCAAAATAAGTTCAGTTCGGCAGATTGAGTTTTGCACCATACTCTTAAAAACAAGACGGGACTACCTGACTTATTTTTTGGCTGGTTAATAAGAGGTGGAGTGGAGCTGCCCACTTTGCCACCTGTATCCTAAACCATGCTCCAAAGAAGAATTGATAGCTTGATGGTTCCGCTTGCAATATAGGAATCGTGCCATTTCTATGGTCTCGTGAGAGTGAGAAAGAGAAATGTAAATTCTTAGTGGGTTTATTTTCTTCTATTTTAATTTTGTTTTTCATTTTATTATGGGAATTAAAAGATATATAATAAATTGGAGTGTTTAACCCATTTTGACCAACTCGAGATGCATATCCCATCAGAGCAAGGTTCACGAAGTTTTTCTCTCGTTATTTATCAATTTCGCACCAATCTTCACAACCCTCTAAATTCCATTTAGCTTTTCATCTGCTTTAACCAAGTCTACTTTTGCTGTGATTTCTAATATTTGCTTATTTACAATTTTGCCATTAATGAAAACAAATAATTATCCGTGTTTTTCTTGTTTTAGAAGAAAAATAAAAAACAAAACCAAAACACCTAATCGATGTTCTCTAATTCTTGTTTTAAAAACTAAAGAAGAGATGATGTTCTTAGAACTATTTTTCAGAACATCCATTATCCAACAAGTTTTTTTTTTCTCTTTTTAAAAACAAAAAACTATTTTACAAAACACTTATCAAACATGCCCATAATTTCTAACTCCAATTTTATACAATAAATTAATAAAAACAATTGAAAGTTTACATAAGATAATTACATTTTATTTAAGATCTCGTACTAGTTAAATACCCACAATGCTGTTATCAAAAAAAAAAAAAAAAATACCCACAATGCGCCTTTTAAATTTAAGTATTCGGCAATTCAAACATTAATATAAGATTGAATTACTCTTATTCTTATATTTTATTCGAAAGAATATAAATAAGTCCCGCGGAATAAAAAAAGGACTATATTTGAGTTTCAAAAATATAAAAAAAAAATTGAAAAATTGTTATAAAAACATTTCAATTTCTAGGTATTTTAATAGGAAAAATGTTTGTCCTTTTACATGATATAATTTATATTATTTTAATCCCACAAAAAGACGGAATCCATATTATTATTATTATTTATTCACTCTTCTTCTTTTATGATTTATCAATTTTTTTATTTAAAATAATATTTTTATATTCTTTAAAATAACACATATTTTTTTATATTTTAATTTATCAGTTATAAAAACATATTAATAATATATTGTAGTTGCAGTCGCAGTCCCAATAATGAAAAGGGTCAGGTTTTCATCAGAAACCATCAATTGGGAAGAACCCAAAACTCAGTCACAGTAGAATAGAGCCAGGTCTAGGACCCAATGTCCAATGAACTCCCTCTCTCTTAGTTTCTGGCGACTAGTTGGATAACCCGGACAAAATGGGTCACTACTGAGTGCCTAACCGGTTAATCCGCTGCTCCTTGCTTTTATCCTAATCTGGAAAGTGTTAAACCCTCTTACTCCACGCCCCTTCTCTGAGCGTGCTTCTTTTCTTTTCGTTTTGTGTTGATGGTGCAAAAATATTGGATTGGGGAATGTGACAAAATTATCTCAGCCATGTCTTCTATACATGCTGCTACTTGAATTTCTTCACGATTTCACTAATGTGACGTAGCTCATCCAAAACACTCGTATTCAATTATGGGAAATCATTTGCCCAAGGACGATTATTATTTTTTAGTAATGTATAATTGGAAAATTATTGTCTCATTTTACATGAGGTAACTATCTCATGTTGCTCTTACATTAAAAAGTTGTACCACAATTTTTTTCTTTTTTCTTTTTTTAATGGATGGTGGGTTCAACCATATTATGTGTTTATGATATGAGATACTTATCTCCTATAATATGAGAAAAATAAATCCCTTTATAATTATATATTAAAAATAATATGTAATTATAATATTAAAGTTATATATATTTTTTAAATATTATTTGTTTGTATGAAAATTTAAAAAGTATAATTTTAATATTATATCTATATAATATCCTTAATATATAATTATAAATTATTAAAAGAATATAAGTTACGTCCTTTAAAAAATTAAATTTTTAACACTTCAATTATTGCGTAAATATAAGATATAATAATACTCCCATGTATTTATAAACGCCGTTATTATTTATATAATTTTGGTCATTTAATATTATATATATATATTTATCTCCGTCCACTCTTAAACTACATTGTTTTGTTTGTTTATTTTCTTATATTAATTGATTCACCTTTGGATGGTTATGATTTTCTTTTTTCTCTCTCTTCCTTTATCATCATTGTACGGTTATGATTTAGTGGACATAGATAAAGTTATTTCAAATAACTTGAGAAACGATAAGCCTATATATATATATACATTTATATATATAGGGAAAAATATTTTTCAAGCAGCTTGAGATAAGATTATCTCTGACTACTCCAAAACTACATCGTTTTATTTATT